CCAAAGTAAATCTGCACTACAATACTTGATTTATCATGTGAACTCCTCTTCCCTTTCTTATGCTGTGGTATCAGAACTATAGCAAATACATTAACAGCCATATTTAGTACAAGACATCAGGCAACTACTTCAAATACTGTTTAAAGATCATTAAACATATCATTAAAGGAGTTGCAGGCCACTGCATTTGAACCACAGACAGATTTACAGACACAGCAGGCATCTCTGTGTGTGTCTGCAGTAGCATGTGACTGCATGTGGGAGGTGAACAAAGAGAATGATGGTCCTGTTTGCACCTTTCAAACAGCTTTTCCTTTCTTTTATTCAGCTCCATTTAATCAGCACTTTGAATCAGTGTAGCATCTGTGGCTCAGAGGAACACAGATAAGAGGTGAAAGGTTTATCAAAGAATAAGCTGAATCTGAAACTCAGTGTTGGGCACCCTTGAGTTATCATGAACATCAGTATGGGACTAACTGGGTCAGTCATGGGTGCAGAAAAACGTGTGTGATCAAAGTATGCATGCTTATGGCCGGAGTGATGAGGACTAGTGAACCATATATAATCATTATTATTCCTGGAGTGGCTCTGAGTGATGGGATACGACTAGACTGCACAACCTTTTACTTAGTACATAGAAGTTCCAGTGGAGGCACATGTAGTGTTATGTTAATCTTAAGTCTTTATGTCCACAGCTCCTGTAAAGTTGGTGCCTAGTTTTGTGGCCATAGTTCTGTTTCTGTTTCTGCATGAATACACTGCAATCATGAATCACATCTGAGGGATTTTTTGTTTGTTTGATTCTTTAGGCTGCTTACACTATGTTTTAAATTTGGCCAGTATTGGATCCCTGTGTCTCCGTGCACTACAGATGATTACAGAAATTATTTTCCTGTGGCAGAGTCTTACAGTGGAGATACATAAACATCTCCTCCTGAGTGAATGTTATAACTCAATTGACATAGTGTTAACAACAGCAAAATTCCAGCCAGGAACCATTTATGAAAATGCTGGGTCCTTGTTACTGTTTGCTCTGTGTTTGAAACTTGATTCTAATTGGTCATAACCATTGCCTGTATACACTGGAATGGACCACGCTGCTTTATTGCAACTTGAGTTTCTACTTCTATCCTGCCAGTGAGAGTACAGAAAGTTACAGGAGCCTGCATTTGTTTACAAAGGTATCAATCAACCATGCTTTGAAAATTGAATACCTAATTAAAATTTGTTTTAAAAATGAACACTGATATTATTCAGCATAAGAACTAACTCCCTAAAAACAGAAACCATGATTGAGAGAAGATTGTTTGACAGTTTTTTTAACCCTAGAACACAATCACTAAAATTAGTAACACCATCACTATCGCCGGGTGATTTTTACCAGAAATAATATACCCAAGAAAAAGGACTTGTCATCAAAATATATCAAAATAGTCTTCCCTGGTGAAGACTCAGGGTCCTTGGCACAATCACAGCTACAGGATAGAGAACTAAAATACGGCACATTTTGAGTGAGTAAAAATGACCAGCTAATATATTTCTTATCACTATATGAATTCCCTTGAAAATCACTACTTTGTGATAGTTATTCATAACCACTGCGCTAAATAAAGATAGCATGCAAATTCCAGGACCACTCTTACTGACCTTATTTGCCTACATGCAGCTATCAAATCCACCCAAACCTACTTACCTTCTATCCCTATTGGTAGGTAAAAATCACCCAAACATGTGCCTGTAGGAAAAAGCGAGTTTTGGATCAGGGAAACAAATATGCCTTCAAAGATGTCAAAGGCAATGCTGAAACAACCCAGGGACCTGTGATACTCAGACAAACGCAACATAATGAAAATCACGTAAACATGTTTAGCAGGGTGAAAATCACCCGTCCTAAGGGTAAATACCCTAGTTTGATCCACATCCATTTGTTAACATTGGGAGATGGGTGTTATGATCTACACTGCAGCCAGTTTGGCAAGAGAGCTCTGAGTCTTTTTGCTCCACACACAATGAACACTTTTGTAGTGCAATTCACTGCACAGCCTATGGTCATGATGTAAAGACATTTTTGTAGCATAATCTAGTGTTTCTTAATAGTAGCCTGTTGTTATAAAGGATAGAGTGTTGTTAGGGATGCAGCTTTAATCACAGACACCGGAGGTCTAACTGTAATTATGTCATTTGCCCAGAGAGAAATGGTTTATTTGACATCTGTTTGTTGAAAATGAATAAACCAAGAAAGAAGACAAAAAAGTGAAGACAAAGCAGAAGAGGTTACAAATACAAAAAGTGGCAGTTACAACAAATAAATCCACAAATTTAAGCTGAAATTGATTTGTGATACAGCGCTGTTAAAGGACTGATAAATGGAAATGGAAATGACACAGATTTAACGGTGAAGAGAGAGAACAATTAGTTGCTGTACTGATTGAAGTGCACTTGTCCTCAGCTTCACATTTCAGCATTAGTAGGAATGTTCTGTGTACAGTGTGTGTAAAAACTGCTAGCTGAGCTCATTTCGAGAAGGCTAAGGAGTTCACCAGTACTATGAACACAGATCAGACTGAGGGTATAGAAGATCATTGATCCAAGGCAAAGCAATGATGGAAATATGTTCATTTTTAAATCATATCTTTTTAACATGTTGTCTTTAAACTCATTGGTCAGATAAGCAGCCAAATAATCCTCAGGATGTGAACTGCATTGTAAATAGGTTGTTGTTAGAGTCTTAGATTGACCCCCCATAGTCTCATGGTCTGTAAAGGATGCAGCATTCTTTGGCACATAATCCAAGGTCTCTAATAAACTTGCGTGTAGCCATGAATCTACTGTTCCTGTGCCCACCCACTCCCACCCGTTTAAACATATCTCCCCTGTTCTTCAGAAACTTCACTGGCTCTCTGTCCCACAAATGATCCACTTCAAAGTCTTCCTCTCTCTCTTAAACCATCCATCTATAATCTCACATACCCCCTCCCACCGCACTGACCTTCTCCACCACCACATGCCTTCCCACAGTCTTGGCCTTTCTGAAACTAGCTTACTCTGTGGTTTGTTCTCTCTTCACCATTTTTACTTTCTTAAGGGTCTTTGAGTTCTCTAAATAGTCCTGTACGAATCATGTATATCATTAATAATGTACCATTACCATTAAACTGTATTTTACTGTTACGTCAACTTCGCTTATTTTCAAACGAGGCACGGGCAGGTTCCCAGGTCAAGGATGTGCTAAATTTTGAAAAACATTATCATTTTAAGGGTTATATTTTCACGATATTTCTACAAGATTACCCCCCCCCCCCCCCCCCCGCAAGCCCCCATCAGTCATCAATATCAGGTCAACAAATGTGTATGTAGTTGAGGTAGGGATGTGTGATAAATGATCGTTCACGATTTATCGTCAGAAAATCCCTCCACCATGAATATTTGCCATCTCATGATAAATGCGATAAACGCAGGTTGATGATGTAAGCAAGGATTTTATTCAAGATTGGGGTTTAGATGAGTGCAATCAGGTATGCTTGACAATAGACAGTATCTGCTGCTGATGTTCACTCTGTACAATAAGAGTTTTGAATAAATGTTGAAAGTGTTTTCACATTTCAGATTTGTTTGATGTCACTAGTTTTCTCAATAACCTACCACTTAAACTTTAATTCAAAAACATTAATTGGAATTATTTTTTTTATCTGGACTCTTATTGTTATCACCAGAATGGCTAATCTTATCATAATAATTGTTTTTAGCCTATGTCCCCCATCCCTATGTTGAGCTGATGTGTTTGTCAGCCTGCTAGCTGAGGTTAGCTTGCACTCTATGAAAGTAGTTGGTGGAGCAGTCCTTTCAGAGCAGATTGTAATAAGCAGCAGGTGAGAACAGAGAGACCCACCAAGTGTCCCTTTGTTTGTTTTTTTTTCTTTATGTTGAACACCACTTACAATCAAACTGAGCAGAGTCCCATGATGTTGCTGTGTGTAGCCCCTCTGGTCCTCTGCTAGTGTTGAATGGGATGTCTACCCCCCTGGACATGGAAGACGCTCACATCAGACCAGGTGACTCCATCCACTCAATAGGAGACATTGTCCCCATTGATTTCTGAGAATGGAGAAGGCTGATGCTGGAATTTTACATTAATTACTCTGCTGCAAAGTTCACTTGGAAGAGAATAATTGGAAGAATATTTTTGTCACTGATTTTGTTCAGTTTACTGAATAGATAATTGTCATTGTGGGAGGGTTTTAGTGGTCAGAGCTTCTAATTACTTAGGTCCTGTTAGTGTGGTTCACTGGCTTTACTCATGGATGGCGGGATGCTGAAATCCTAATCCTGCTGACTAGTGTTGAGGCAGATATAAGAAAGGTTACATTACAGATACACATTTATCAGTTTCACCAAATAAAGTCCCAAAAATCCCATTCATGTGATTAACTGCTTCTTGGGAGTAATATGCTGAAGTCTACGACCAAAATGATAGCTTATTGTTTAAATTTCTGGTAACACTTTATTTCACGCCTATCTCTATAACACATTATAAATATCTGTATAATGCATTATAATCTCGTTATAGCACTGTATAAATATAGTTATAAACACTTTTACACGGTCAGGTAGTATAATGTGTTATAACTGTTAACAACTCATTGACAATGCCCACATAGCTAATGCAATGCAACTGTTGTTAACAGTTATAACACATTATAATACCTGACCTTGTAAGTCATGATAAAATGTTTTATAATGTGTTATGATTATTGCTATAAAGCATCATGATCATTATGAGTGTTTATAACTACAGAAACACAGTGCTATAACATGGTTATGACGCATTATACATATATTTATAATGTGTTATAGAGAGACATGAAATAAATTCCTTTCTTTTTTGGGATGTTTGCTGGTTCTGTCCAATCAGCCTGAAAGGAAAAAAATTGATGGAAAAAAGTTAGTAGTATTTTCAGCAAGTCAGTTGAAAAGGGGAATCTCTTAAACTAGCCTCACTCTACCCTTCATTAAAGCACCAAGTGTCTGGATTTAAAGGGGAGTTGGGATAGGTCTGTCTGAACCCAGTCAGGTCTTTTAGATCTGCCAGGCAACCTAACAGCTAACAAGGCCTCTTTATTTGCCTACTCAGCAGGTTAGATAAGATAGAAGACACTTGAGCCAAGTAGTGTGACTGTGGTGGAAAGTAGGGATGAAGATCAAAACCCTCCAACCACAAAGTTTGACACGCCTTCATGTCGTGTGAAACCCACAAAGAATAATCAATTAGTTCAATATAATGGATAAGGAAAGGGTTGAATCTGTTTTATGGGCATAAAAATTGACCTGCTGGTAACAGATAGTAAACTATCATAGTGAACTGAAGTTAGTTTAAAAAAAAAAAAGGGAAATAGATTAAAATTGAGGATGAGAGTGAAAAGGCGTCGTTAAAAAAGGGCCTTTTTTTTCCAATTAGCACCCATAACATCAATTTCAGATCGCTCCTCATTGGCTCTCAGTGTTGCTAAGTTTCCAGTGTCATCATATGATATATACACGTCTCTCTGTGGTGATTGTTGAAGTTGTGATTTTATCTACATGCTCAGTGTTTGCTTTTATTCAAGGACAGTCTACAAAAGAAATTTTTACAACAATGGAAAGAAATTGTTCTGGACCAGGAATTATACTATGAAAAAAAAGTACTTAGTTTTTTGTTATTTTTTTCCCTCTGTTGTTTACTGAGTAGTAATCAAAAATCCTAACCCTTCTTATTGATCCATAAGGGAGAAACGACATTGACATGCACCACACTATTCCAATAGTTGAGCTATTTTTATCTGAGATTGCTTTGAGCACAGCTAAAAAGAAAACTGGGACAGAGTCTTCAATTTACTGCATTGGGTTTTGTTCAGGAATTAGCTGCTGTCAGCGTCAAATAATGACATTTGTGGACACAGACCCCAATCTACACATTTGTTCTGATTTTTTGTTTGAATGGATTTGTGTCCTGTTTAACACCATACTTTTGGGTTTCAGGACCTGCATAGTTGAATATCATATACTCTATGTTTTTTCACAGATGGGATCATTAAGTGATTTTTGTTATATGTTTTAGATGAACCTTCAGAGGCAGGTCTTCTGCAGCCAGAGGTGCCTTTCCTGTGACAGTTCAGTAAAGGAGCCGGGGCATTAATAAAAGATGAATCACTCTGTACGATGGCATTCTCTGTGGACCTGAATAGATGGGTATTCATTATCACAGCTTTGTAAGCCCCTCTCACAACCTAAAGCCCCAGATAAGCGGGATGTTTTAACATCAGTTTTTTATAAGCATGGCCTTTGACCTTTTAACCTTTTCAGCACTTCATTGAGCTTATTAGCCTCACCTCACTCTCTTCTCTGCCCTAAATACTCACTTAAATCCCCTACTCTGAACTTGTACCATCAAATGATCGTGTTATCATTTTGACACATTCTGCAGACTATTTAGGCACAAAAAATACTCACAGCTATAGTGGAGAGACACACCCTGTGTGGTTAAAAAAACTGAAGGTGTAATGAAAATCAGGATATGACTAAGCTTTCACTGTATGGAGCAGCTTATTGTGCTCATTTAAAGCCTTATGTTGGAATAGGGTGAGAGAAAACATCTGTGAGCTAAACATGCAGTCATTCTTAAAAATACACACGTTTATTCTCAAAGACAGGCCTCCCAGTTCAAGTTTTCTTTGAAGCTTGTCTGTCTGACCTGTCTGACCTTTCTACACCTTAAATCTGTGGAGTTGGCTTACCCTGTTAAAGTGAGTTACTCTTTATATTTGACAGCTCTCCCTCCCAGTAAAATGAGGCATCAAAAAGAGGATATATACCATCTTGTGGATAAGCTTTTACTGATCAGAATGCTATGATACCCCTTACAAATCCAAACATTTAACATTTAACATCAAACATTTAAAGTTTTGGTGTATTTTTTTAAGAAAGAGGAGGAGAAATATCCCTGCAATGTGAGGCCTAAATTGTGTTTATTTAGTTCAAGAAACTGTTGTGAACTTTTCTTTGTAGAGTAGTGTCAGTGGTGGAGGGCAGGGTCAGTTAATCAGCGTGGGGAGATCAGCTGTAAAGCTGGGAGAGAATGATTAAATGAGAAAGTTTTTTACCATGAGTGGGGAGAGAAAATTGTGCCACTCCCCCCTACACCTCCTCCCAACCCAGAGTGCTCTGCAACATCTCCCTCCTTTGCTGGGGAGCACAGGAAAGGAGAAGAAAAGAAACTCAACCGCTCTCATTTTCATAGACATATAGAAATAGGACAACAAAAAAATCCCAGCATCAATACGGCACATCGGCATTTCTACAGGATCGGGGAATGAATTACTTGTGATATTTGTTGTTGGATATTTATCTTTTTACATCACAAACTGCTATCACCATTCTCATCATTGTTTTGACTTCATCATTATTGTCATCATAAAGACCAAAAATCATCTTCATCCTTGAAGGTAAGTCTGATCACAATCATTTATTCTTGTTTCTTTCTATAGAATCAAGGTTTTGTCCTGAAACTGGAGAATTTAGTTTAGAGTTGAAGTTTGCTGAAAGTCCTGTGTACTCTGTGTGGTGGATTTACACAGCCACAATACAATAGTGGGCTTTGTTTGAGGGGGTTAAGGCATTATGCCCTAATACTGCTCTACAGAAATACAAAAGCTATACAGAAGTACAAAAGCTTTATAAAAATCCCTGTCCACTAATACATAACCAGCTGTGTGGATTTTATATTATGTTGTATACATCCACATAGATTAATACCTGATACTGAGTGTTGAAATGCTTGAAAAACAAAAATAAAAAACAAAAACAAAAACAAAACCCAAACATCTAACACACAAAATTCTATCTTGCATTGTTTTTTTTTCCTTTTTCCGTTGAGATGTACCTATCCCAAATCTCTTACCGCCGTGGAATAAGGGTGGAAAAATTAAGAAAGCAGTTTGTGCTTGTCGTCACACACAGCCACAGGCAGGATGTTAAACAAAAAGGCTGATTCTTGTCTGTGGTGAGGAATATCACAAGCACTGGATAAGACTTCTATGTGAGGTACAACCAAATAGCAACCGGCTATCACTGATACTGTTCTCATTGAGGAAAAAGAGATGCAAGTTAACCCGAGATTGATGGTGCTCAATGATCTGTTTTTCGGGGGTCTGTCAATGAGAAATAGTTGTACGACTCTAATAAAGAAACAATATTAAAATAGTGATGCTGTGTAAAATGTCATTTAGCAGATCGTGAGTTTTTGAAATTCATTTAAAGCCACAGCTTAATTGAAAGAAACACAAAGTCGATTTTGACACTGCACCTTTTTTTTGAAAAATACATGATTGCATGCACTTTAAATTTGAAACCAGTTAAATATTTCTAAAAAGTTAAGACAGGGGCGTCAAAAAACAGAAAAAGTAATATAATGCAGAAAGAAACACCTGGAGGAACATCTCCCGTCTAGTTAGGTGCAACAGGTTATTAGTAACATGACTGGATTTCACAAGGGCATTCCAGAGAGGCGGAGTCTCTCAGAGGTAAAGATAAGAAGAGGTTTATCCCTCAGTATGAGACTGTGTGCGCAACAATGGCACATAATTTGAGTATTTAATCCTCTGCACTGCACTGACTCTCAAGTGGAAATTACTGCATGGGCTTAAAATCACTTGACATGATATGAAATCATAAACAATTTCCAGAAATACCGGTGGCTTCTCTGACTCTGGGCCCGTTTAACTCTGACAGTGAAGACGTAGAAAACAAAACTGGAGTCTAATGAATCAAACTTTACTTAAAAAAAAATACCACAGATGTCATATTCCTTAACTGTATATGGATGGGGAATCAACGTTGTTAGCTGTGGTTGGGGCAGCTGCGGTTCAGTGGTAACACTGATCATCTTTGATGGTTGGAGTTTTGATCTCATGTCCTTCTGTGCCTAAGTGTCCTTGGGCAAGATATACGAACCCAAATTGCCTCCTCTGGCTGGTGGTGTAAATAGATTTTACTAAAACTAATGTGTACTCATTACATAGCAGCCATAGAAGCCATCAGTGTGTGAATGTGATGTTATGATGTGATGTTATGATGTAACATGTGTAAATGTGAACGCACTTTAAGTAGTTAAGAATACTAGAGAAAGAGCTGCAGTATATATACACAGTCCATTTACCTTTTATCACCCTGCTTGTAATCAAGACATGGTTTAAAAGCCAGCGTCTGTGATCATTTGGGGATGCATGCGAATCTTTGGCTTGGGTAGCTGACCTTTCTGACCCACCAACAATACCAAACAATATTATAAGTCCCGGAGCAAACATATGCTACCATCCAGGGAAGGCTTTTAGGAGAGACCTTACATATTTTAGCAAGGTAGTGTCTAATAACAATCTGCACAGATGGCAAAAACAAGGTTGCTAAAGTAGTCTATTTGCTCAAGTAGTCCACTTGCAATCCATCCCAACTTATCACCTGATGAAAACATTTAGTGCATCACGAAAATACAACAAGTAGACCCTGGACTGCTGAAAACTTATATCAGGCAGAAATTAGACAACTTTAAAACACCAGAAACTGCTCTCTTTGTTTACTAAATGCTTAAAGTGTAGTTCAAAGATAGGGTAATACAATACCCTGTCCCAACATAGTTAGGGTTTAGATCACCAAAAAACTTATACAATTTCATTAAGCAAAAGTTATAGGTTTCTACAGTTGATATGTTTCTTTGTTTTGTTTTTGATAGAGCGTTTAAGTGCAAACCATCGGAATCTGTTTTTATTCAACATTTATACAATGTTCCAATTTTTTTATTTTGGATTTAAGGTTGTTTAACTTTCTTGTGCGCAATGGTTGGCTCAATTAATATCTTTAAAGCTACTTAAATAAATCATGTAAACAACAGATCAATGTACTCCGAAGGGATGGCTCTTTGGAGTTTTTTCATGGAAATGCTGGAGGGAGTGGTTCTCTGACCCTGTACTGCTGCCTGACAGGACTGTGGCCTAGCTACTCAAAGAGGTTATTATCACAGAGAGCTCAAATGTCACATGTGAGTTCCTGTTGCCTTTCATGTGAGCTATAATCCCATCGAATTCATGCAGCTTTTGTGTTGGCAAGTACCTCATGTCTGCTGAAGCTGACCTCATCCACTGACCTCATGCTGCAAATCACTCAGCTGTTACAGTGCATGGTGGATTTACTCTGTTTTATTAATTGTTAGTTGTCATTAAAAAACATGTCTTATTACTCACATCTACAATATATAGATCATAAATACTGTGGTTAGCAGGTGACTGTGCGTACTTTATGGCCTGTGGTGCAATCAGCGCGTAAGTATTCTGGCTCTCAGCTGTACAATAGGGCTCCTTGTTCCTTCTTGCTCCAGGAAAGGGAAGTTAGTGCAACTGACGTATCAAACAGAGCGGGTTAAGGATGTGATGTAAGTAACCTCAACCTCAAGTAAAGGTCAGAATTCTAAGAAAAAAGTCTGAATATTGGTAATAAAAAAATATTTTGGACCTTTTTTTTTTTCCAGTGGCCCTAATCTCCTACCGTAAAAAAGTCAGAGCTAAAACTTTAAAATGTTTTAATTTGTGTTTTCATGCTAAAAGTAAATCACAAAACCACTTGCCTGGGTTTCTAGTTAGCACTACAAGGGGATTGCAGCTTAGTCGATGAGCTCCCTAATGGTTTTACACAATAACCCCTTAAACTTGGTATTATTTAAAAAAAAAGTCCAAATATGAAACCACGCTGGATTCAAACTTACTCATGTCTGCTACAACACAGTGCTGATTTCCTGTGATTAAGTGACTTGAAAATAAAATGAAACGTTCTGCATCACTTTCTGCAAATAACTGATTTTCTTTTATTCTAATATTGATTACAAATCTTGTGAGAGCTTCATGAATGCATTGCTTCTATAGCTGAAATTGTAGCAAAATCAAAACTCTTTGGTGACTTGTTTTGGTCTAAATCTTGATCCTCTCTTCAGTTTTACCAACTAGCTTGATATCACTATCCCAGCATATCTAAAACTGGGAAAACGTTTGTGTTATGTGTTCATTGTGCTTAGGTATCAGTACCAAGGATTGGCTAGGTTTTGGAAGAGATTATTTGCACTAAAACTGGACTCAGTTTGGTAGAACGTGGGATGCAACTTTGATGTCTCTGAGAATATATTCTGGGTTAACTCTTAATGCTTTAGCTAGTCAAGCCTCACCATCTCTCACCACTTTTATAGCATCAGTGGCAGCAGTTTTCAGAGCATAATACTACAACACACTCAGTACGCTAATGTACTGTAGTATCGCAAGAACATGTTACAGTTTACCAGCAGTGTGCAGATGACTTTTGCTTCATCCTTCTAAAAGTCATAGTTCAGGTACTGTTTCAATCTTAATCAAGATGGTTCTTAAACTTGATAAGTACTTTCTTACTCATTACATTTTGTTGTGATCTGAACACCAGAGCTACTTGACATGATAAGCTTTAGGACAAGGTACTGGTTTTTCAAAAAATGATTACTCAGGAGTGCAGCAGCCACTTAACAATAACTATGAAGAAACACAAGAGTAAATCCTTTTCCTTTCTGTGAAGCAAAACAGCTGAAGTCCAGAAGTATTTCATGTAATTCATGTGATGTGTACATTTGTTGCTCCACAGTAACTGTTGGGTGATGCAAAAGATACTGTATACTATTGCAAGCAACTGTAAGCTATCATGCTTCACTTATAAGGGGATGTTGTTCTCACGTAGTCAATAAGCCATTAAAGGCTTGATTGTTAACTTTCCTATTTGACATTTCCATTGGATCTAAACAGTTTTGTTCTGCCCTCCAGCTGTTTCACCATGTATTTGGAAAACAAAAGCAACCTGGACATTGAGTTATCTCAAACGCCAGCCCAAGGTCCACAGGGTCGGAGTAGCCTAAGGTCACCAGAGGCAGTTGCAGGGAACTTTGAGGAGCTCCTTCTACTGCAAGGATTCTCAGAGAGGAGAGAAACTCAGAAGCTGCAGTCGTCAGGTCTGCCTACGGGACAGTGCGCCATCCACAATGATGGATTTCTTCCTGTTCGACAAGAGGATGGGTATGCATGCTGAATTGTGTCTGTGCTTTTCACATGGGGGGTTTGTTGACAAGATTAAATTTATATTGGAGTTTTAGGGATCATTTAGAATCCTTATTGAAGGTAAAGCTAGTCTAAAGGTTCATAATTGTGAGGATGTCAGGTTCCCCTCAGATAGGTTTGGTGATTGGAGATGAAAATCATATCTGGATATGTTGTTCACCCAATGAAAGATTTCAGCACAGTTAATTTCAAGCCCAAACCTCCAAGGCTCTTACTTTATGTCTTAAATTCACCAAACTCTTGTCTTCTGTTTTCTAACCCCAAAAACCTAATTTTTAAAGTGACAGTATAGATTACAGAGTACGGTTTTGTAATAGAGGGGGAAACATGTCAGCAGTACTACAGTGTGGCTCACTGTTATGTTTCTGGATAATTAAATGGTCCTACCACTTTTTGATTTGGATTTTTTCATTGAAGGAGAATTGACGATGATGAGCTGTAATATACTGCAGTAGTTAGACTTTTAAATGAGAACATTAATCGGCTCTAGTTTTGCACAAGAAACAGGCCTTCCAGTGCAAATGATGCCACTATAACATGTGAGCCTTTAGCGTTGGTTGAGACAGAAGTATAACTTTGACTTACTTATGTGGTCAGGTGGTCAGATACATACTCCAAATAAATGTTACATTTGCTTTTTATCTGTTTAAAGTCTAAAGAAGCTAGTGTCACTCACCACCAGCTGGCTGTGGCTCAGCAATGAAGCTGATTGTCTGAATCTGTAGGTTGAGGTGTTTGCTCCCAGCTTTTGCAGTCACATGCAAAAGTGTCCTTAAGCTAACCATTGAACCCTAAACTGCTCGTAGTCAGCGATACGTGGATGCAGATGCAGGGATTACTTGATGCGAGTCAATTCACCATTTACCTTGAAAGAATAAATTGCAAAACAACAGAATAGGATTTATTGAAAGATTGTTACCTAGGTTATTTAGTTCTTGACCATAGAAATCAAACAGGTCAAAAGTCATGAAGTAAAAGAGAAGAGAAAAACATAAAAAATAAAATAACGTACAATAAAGACAGATCTATGATGTTAGGGAATGTTGGTGTTGTGTTAGTTAGTGTCTGCAGCCCCTTTAAAACAGCAAATGTAGGTTTGTAGTTTGTGTTTATGTGAACTTTGAACATTACAACTCTAAATGATTTAAGAGTATTTATCCTACAAATGTTTCTGTGCTCTAGTTTAGAGAGGGATTAACACAGTCTCGTGTCAGCTGGTTTTTGCGGAGTAAAGACAGAACAGTTTCAACAACACGTGCAGGATCGTGTTACACACGGCTTGTTGGTTTAATCTTCTGGGAGGTTGTAAGACCATACCTAGAAAATGCTGGAATTCTTGTGAAGTTGAAACATTCACAGACACAGAAACTTAAGTGTTTGAGTCTGTGAGTGTGTATCTCAGTCATCCAGAGGGGTGCTAATCTGAAGCCTGTGGCTGTGACGTAATTGGGATTACTCTGTGGAAATTTTTGCTGCATGAAATAAGTTTGTTTTCGCAGCACTTTCTGTTTGGTAGCTAATCTCACACAGGCCTCTGAGACCATTGCTTTTAAAACCTTTTCCTGCCTTTTAAGTTATTATGATTGTCAATGCAAGACAGTGTTCAACTAATCAATAAAACACAAACAAAACAGATGCAAAAGGTTGCCAATACTTCTATTATTTGGTTAATCTTTTTGAGCCTTTTGTTGACTGGATTAGTTTTTTTATTTTACTTTATTTTTTTACTTTTTTGAGATGTTGGTGTTCTGAGACAAATACTTTTAAGTCATAAAAATAGAGATTTAAATGACAGCAATCCTTCAACGGGTGCAAAAGTAGGAAAACACAAGAAATAATTGGATTTGAGTGCAATTTAAAGCCACTAAATAGGGGATAACAGTCTGAGTGAAAAGTGTCAAATTTGTTTGCTAAGTGTGGCTAACACTAGCAGAGCTAGTACCATCAGCTAGTGGTCCTTCAAGCAGATCAACATTTACATGCCTGTGGGATTTGTTACACATTCTGGGCTGTGTTGAGTTAATCAGGTACAGTCTACATTTAATTTTAACTGTAACTGAAGTTGTGCCACACTATGAGATGCACACATGTCGTGTTATGTCAGCTGTGTCTTTTTACACCCTGTTAGTAGAGAATTATCACATTTTATTGTTCAGAGCTTCAGCCCTGGCCCCGGCATGATAAGAGAATGACTTGAACCAATGAGTCATTCTGACAACATTTAGACCAATTCAATGCACACTTCCCTTTAATAAGCTTTTCTTTTTTAACAACATGTCTCTGTTATTCTTTCGAACTTTGACTGAAACACAACACACAGCACAGAAATGAAGCATACCCTGGCTAAGTGAAGTTGCAGGGCACGCTCATTTTTTTTGAAGCATTGCTTCAATGAATCAACAAGTGAATAAAAGACTGTAAGGATCTGCTGCAGTGGATTATACAAATGGACAGCTGAAAAATGAAAGCTATAACATTTTAGGGAATGAAATAAGAGTCATCATAAATTGGGTGGATGACCATTATTTTGATGGACAGAAGCTTATTTAGCAAGAGAAAAGTTTCAAACCTGTTCACCCGCTGGATGTTGTTCCCTGTAATAGAAGTCTTGAGGTTGCACTGCTGTTAAAAACTTGAACATGATTGGTTGTGACATTTTTATGATATTTTTCTGTCTGAAAGAATGCTGCAATGGTGGTTCCTGCCAGGCTGTCGATTTGGCACCTTTAATAGTGGAGTATGTGATTCCTATCCAATACACTTTTTGTCAGATTCATGTAATATCTCCTCATGGTCCGCTAGCTGTGTGTTCTGTACGCACTGACAAAAAAAGATTTGTTCACAGCACTGAGTCTTGAAGAGGAGAAATAGTAGCAGGAAGCAAGCCACACAAGTGGATTCCTGCCATGAAACAATATAAAGTTTGCAACAGCCGAAGACATGACATGACTGAGAGTTCTGTTTTTATAGAGAGTAATTCACTTGTTCTGTGGATCAGTCAGGAGTTGGCTTAGAAGTTCATGATGATTGTTTTGATTTTATACAGCTTGTCCTGCTGTCTTGGTTCGCTCTGATTGCTGCTAATGTCCAGCTGGATTGGTCAGCTGATATTGTGGAAACCCTCTTTGAGGAATGGGCAGTTAGTCACTTACTTCAGTTTAAAAAAAAGATATATAAGATATATAATTTTCTTTTAGGTATTTTTTTTTTGCCAGACCAGGTAAAGAAGCCTATGGCTAGACCACAGATGATGTTTTGTAGAGGAGTTTTAATTTAAAAGAAGAACACCAGAGGGGACCTGCTTTCTCTGGAGCGTTACCAACTGATCATGCCTTTTTGCTCAACTGAACACAACCATCCACTCTCTAGCTTTGGTTGAGAGATTCTCCTCATTTGCAGGATTAATATTTCATCCACACAGGACATAGCTAACTCATGATTTAGTTGACAAATAATTGCTTTTGAAGGCATGCTCCTTTTTTACACAGAGGAAATCCAAAACTGAAGAGCTCTGTTTTGAGATTGTTTTGAATTTGGTCAGGACAGGGTAAACAGAGAATTAAGAGCATTAAGATGAAGTTGTTTGCAGGCTGTAGAAATTACCACTCCATCCTTCCAATCTGAGGAAACATCTATGGCGGCAGTAGCTCAGGAGGTAGAATGGTCATCCAGCAGCTGGAAGGTTGGCGGTTCAATTCTGTTATGTCCTTAGACAAAACACTTAACACACCTTGCTCCCAGTGTGTCCTACACTGGTGCATGATTGTGAGTGTTGTGTGGTGGTTGTCGGAGAGGATTGGCAGCCGGTAAAGCACTTTGAGGTCACTGATAAAAAGTGCTATATAAAATCTGATGCATTATTATTATCTTGAAAGTATGCACCCAAATGAGCAAAGCCTGATGTCTGGTGTTTGAGCTCAGTCCTTACGGCCATGTCTGTATTTCTATGAACATCACTTGCATAACAGGAGGTGTGCATGACGAAACTACATTTAAGAACATGAGGTCTGTTTGCATAGTACATGGGGCAGGCTTCATAGAGTTATGTCAGCAGCTGGAACCAAGATGCCATACCCCATGTTTATGGTATAACACAGCTTAATTTAAATGTATAGGACAGTATTTTATTCTCATGTCGAGGTGATTTTTTTAAAGGAATATGCAGCCTATCTAAAACCAACTAAAATGACCAAAAACACAACATAAAAAACATTTAAAAAAATGCGTAAATGGACACTAATACACATGCATAAAAAGTGATAAGTGGTTGTATTGGTTTGCCCTCCTGTGAACATAATGGGCAAAAATTGAGACCTTAATTTTCCAAACCTTTGTGTTTTTGGAGGAAATATTTATAATATGTATTATATTTATAATATTCTAAAGTTATTCTAGGTCTGTATAAACAAATCTAGGCTGTAAGACCAACCAATGATCTGCACTGGCTGATAGCTGGGTTCACAAGACTGAAAAGATCAAATAAGATGCTGCATGCTCCTCGTCACTGTTGCCTCCAGTCACTTAATAGATGGTGTATGGTATAGGAGCAGGCTGTGCAAAGGCAGAGAATACAGTTTTAATTTCTAATGCTCACTTGCATTAGCTTGTAACTGAATCTGTGAACAAACAGAAACATGTAAAAATGTCTTTAGGATAGTTTTAGAAAGGTGGAGAAAAAGTTCGTTTTGAGCCTCTTTCCTTTGCTGGAACTCCCTAGCGCCGGCATATAAATGGTTGTTTATAATGTTAGATTTTCTTAGTCACTATTGTCTTTTCTAAGTTATAAACATTTTTTTCATCCTCAGTGACAACAAACAAAATTTAAAACAGTTCCTGACAAGAGTTCATCATTAATTGTTATGATGTATAAAAAAGTTTTATGCTGCTTTTGACTTAAAAATCAGTAAAAATCTGAAATTTCAGAACCCAGCAGAACTTAATGAATTATTCTATTTCATGAATTAGTTAAGAAAAACAGCAGTATGACATCAACAGCTTATATCAGCCAATGGCTGACCTGCTCTCTAATTATCTGCATTAGCTGTTTAGTAAGTTTAAAAGTGTGAAATGGTTAAAGTATGTTATGTGAGGTAGCTAGTTCGGATATCCATATTCAAATGTGGCTGGTAGCATAGATGTATGACATGCATGTCACAATTTAAAAGCCAGAGCTCAGCTTTGGTGTTTAGGACGTGCAGTCCTGTCTGATTTCTTTAATGCTAAGACAACAGTAGACTGTAAGTGCTTCACATCAGGGGCAGCTGACACACTTGTGCACAAAGTTGCCTCAGACCTGAAACAAATTCAAATTGGGCTGTGATAGGCCTGACCTGAATGGGGGGGGTAGGATATCAGTTTAAACAGGTAAGGAACTCGACACATCTGCCAAAGCAAATAAAGTAAAACCTGAGATATTCTCAAGGCTCTTGGATACAAGACGGAAAAAATCCCCATGAATTATGATTTTATATTATTAGAAGACTTTCATTGCACTGACAGACCCTCAAATGTAAGTGGCAGACTCAAATGAAGGCTACTTCAATATCTTTCAGAGGCTCCTTTTCAGAGTGAGAGTACACAGTCACCAAGTTGAAACATATCTCAGGGACAGGACAGGCTCAGAGTCATTTCAGGGTAAGAGGAGGGAAGACAACACTTGTAGACATGGAGTAAATCTCTTTATAGTTGTATAAGAGATTCCAAAGAGGATTAATGTGGCAGACTCCACTAATGCAGTGTACTCCTTGATCCAACACTCTCACCACATTCATTGATTCACGGCGCCCAACTATCTGGAGTGTGTTTGACAATGCCCTCTAGACCTGTGCGATGACAACAACAACAACAAGTTAAGAATTATGAATCACTGAGTTATCTGCAGTGCAGCACAGTTGCCTCATATTGATACATGGATTAATCTGGAACATTTATGAAAATTATAATTACTGTAGACAAAACTGCTTGTCTCTGTGTAAAGACGTGCACAGACTGTGTTTAAGCACCCAACCCTTTTAACAGGCAGACGGTAGAAGCCCTTCAAGATTAGCCGAGGGGGACCTCTAATTTTCTGAAAGATTTCCATCTAACAGTTTTGGCTCAGGAGGGCTGGTATCCCATTATATAACTATTTTCAAGATGTCTCTACTGTTGTCAGAGTAATTGCTGAGATGACTGTGGGCCTGATGAAATGGTAGATAGGTGTTTTTGGTGAAATAAAAAATAGCCAGATGTATGAAGATGCTGCCATGCTTTTGCTTTGAGGCATATTGAAAATAAAAAATATCAACCATGATTGAACGTGTGTGTGTGTGTGTGTGTGTGTGTGTGTGTGTGTGTGTGTGTGTGTGTGTGTGTGTGTGTGTGTGTGTGTGTGTGTGTGAGAAGTGAAGCGTGTTCAGCTTTAAAATTCAGAGGTGAAGACAGTTACAGAGTAGATGTGTGTGCATGTTTGAGGTGTGATTGTTGGTTGGGACCCAGCTGTGAGGCTCCTGACAGAGGCTGCCTGCAGGAGCCTTAGGGATACAGTGCAGCAGCAGGGTGACAAAAGATGCTTTAATGATCTCCTCAGGTGTCCAATCACCAGCTGCTCACCCACCCCTTTGCCACCCATGGGTTACAAAGGGTCTGGCAAATCTCTTTAACCAGTGACTGACAGCTGTGCAATGACAGCTGTGGGCTTTTGGGTCATAGTACATATGCTTTTAAAAAGATTTAGATGCAGCAATTTTTCCTTTTCCATTTAATTTTATTCCATTTCATGTCTTTGCAGGCACAATTTTGGCATGTTTAATATTTTCAGAGGAAAATCACCTTCATCCAGCCTCTCAGAGAGATCACCACTGCTGAGATTCTCACAAGATGAGAGGTGAGTAATCCCATGTGCTGGAGATTAATCACATAAAAAATAGAGCCTTAAAGTATGCAACATCACAGCAATGACACAAAGAAGAATTCTTACTATGCATGATCACGTGATAAAACTGGAACAACAGGAGTCAGGGATTTTAACTGTTAAATGACTCATAAAATGTAACTTATTGTTGTGTAATGTGACACACTTACTATTTCATTTTATTTTATCGTAGCATTCTTTGCTCTTTTTAAATGTCAAAATGTGCCTTTTTATCTGACCGGTGATTTCACCTGTCACTGTTTCCTAAGAAGATACTTTAAGCAGCAGTCTCTAAGATCTCAGTTTCTTGCCCTTGGCAGCACTAGTGGCTGTAGGGGGTAATTGCAGGTGTATTTTTGGACATCAATCCAGGAGAGCCAGGTATCCAAACAGCATCCACTTGATTGGTTATCTCACTCTAAACTGCTGTGTAGCACTTGTTTCCTATAATTTTTTTTATCATATTAATTTGAACAACTTGTTCCTGTAATGACTTTATTTTAAATTATTTTTTGCTGAATGTAATACAGTTCATCTTTAAATATATTTGTGGTTTCTACTTTTTTTTTCATCTGTGCTGTCTGTAACCATAAGAACAGCATTTCAACTTTTCATCATGTCATGTAATAAAGATTTAAATGACACATTTTGTTTCTATAAGAAATGGCTCAGCTTTTGTGTCTGTGAACCTTTCATAATGTGCACAAAATGTATGGTTTTTAAGGATGCTCATCTTTTACAGACGTGTTTTTTTCTGCACAATAGCAGAAACATTTTTCAATGTAGCAGGTGACATCAACAGCTGCTGTCCTGAAGACCTGTTTTATTTATTTTACCTAGGCTGTAGTGCTGATTTCCAGTGAGTGACAGTGATTATTCTTTTCCAGCATTACCTACATGACCTTACATGAACCGAGCTTTGTTGAAGGGGAAGGGGAACCCTGGGACAATGGTCCTCTGGACCTGGAAAGGAGGTATCGGCTGGGCAGTGAGGTCAACAGTCTGTCCCTGTCCCGCTCCGGCTCCTCAGACAAAGACCCTATGGACAACATTAACTTCAGGCTCACCAGTAGTATGAAGTAAGATAAGAAAGATATTCCTGTATTAGTCCCACAGGGGGAAGTTCCAAATTTACAACTTAAAGACAAATTAAAGGATGAAGAAACTTAGGAGTTATATGAATGTTATTTACAACTGTTATGTAGATGTTTGATATATTACAAGTGAAAAAGTTGGAGATATTTATATGTATGACTATAAGCGAGGCCTTTTGTGTCTTTTTGACCCCTAAAATGAAGCCATGTCCACTGAAACCACCTCCTCAACATACACTCCATCATTTGCTAACTGCTTTATTTTAACTTTTCTTTTCAGATGTTGTCTAAGAGTCTCCAGAATCGCAACAATCTTCACTATCCTTGTTCTCTGCAGTGTAAGTGGCCTAAAGACGTGTAATACATCTACCATGACCAATAAACAAACAAGAATTTAGGTTTAAGAGGGGTTTACATGATGAACAACAGTTTCAATACTAAATAGAGGGGACCTTAAAGACTTTGTGCTTTGTCACCCATTCATCAATTTTGTAAGATATCAATAAGGGCCATCTTTGCAATTTGAATAAAAAGTGAATAAATGTGCTCTGCTTTCAGCTCTTCTTCAGCATGTATCCAGACAGAAATAATCCCTGGAGGATGCTGGCAGTCTCTCCAACAGAGAGTTTCTGTATCCTTCTCGTTTGCATGACAAAGTATCTGTATTACCGCTTTACTGAGATAATAAACAATAGCAGGATGTGAATGGCCCACCAGGCCTTTCATCAACAAGGAGAGGGTTGGTACATGGTGAATGTTCATTTTAGTTCATTTTGAGCTGACAGGCACTCAGACATTGATAGACTTATGAGAATCCACAAGTGTACTCATCAGGCTTTAATCAGACTCAATGTAGAAGAGAAAAAAGGTAAAAGGGAGTGGTAGCAATCTTGACCAGTGAATCACTGCAGGACTCTGATCTTTGAGTCATTTTCAAGGAGAAAGGATTCTCATTCTCATTTTAGACCACACAGTTGATGAAATTACCCATTCTTCTTTTGGTGCATTAAATCAGCTTCAGAAAGTAAAAGTAGAAGTCGTTATGCAGGTGTTCATTTTAAGATCTGAAATAAAAGTTCAGCAGCCATCTGTAAAACGCTTGCTTATCAAAGAAGCAAATGGAAATTTCTATTTCTCTTAACAGTCCTCATCCCACAGCTATGAATGTCACAGATTTCCGAGATAACGCCATGCTAAAGCTGCAGGTTGCAGGGCCTTTTACAGGAGGGGTGATTGACTTCAGCAGGCAGGAGTTCATCCTGATCCAGGTCGAGCAGACGGAGCAGTCAGGACAGCAGCGGAGGAGGCGGGCTCAGACGGTGAGGAGGGTTTAAGTGATCTATTGTAATTCTTTGTTTTATCATCTGTGAAGTGCTGATTTGGCAAAAATAAACTCATTTATCTTTTGCTGTTTGTGAACAGGTTTTGCATAACTGGACAATTCCCCTACACAGTGAACGAAGTGACCAGATACTGTTGACAAAAACCTTTGCAATGCTCAGCAGGTACTTACTGTGATGATTTAAACAAATAAGTATAATCATGTACATTTTCATCCTTAGATTGTTGCACAAGAGAATTACCAAAGTTTTTTGGTAACAGTGTGATTATCTTTTAGATATTTATATAAAAATGTATGTAAACAAAACACTGTATGAAAAGAGATCAGTATAGTGCTACTGGGGAAAAAGAAGCCCTTCTGTCGGTGCCACAGATCAGACAGGCTGGAGTGACATTATGCATAAAATTACCTCAACAAATAAATAGTCAAAGATGTGCGAGAAAAAAAAAACTTTATAAAATCCTCCAGTGACAGGTAATTGGTTGGTTTGTTGATTTTCAGGCCTTACTCCTTCAATGTTTTTTTCTCTGCAAGTAGTTTCTCTGTCCTCAGGATCTGAATAAGCATAGTAACGATAAAGCCCCAATGATTCCTACAACAAAACATCCGATACTGTTAAAGCTATAGTCAATATGATGTATGCACATCACACACAGTAACTTTCACCAGAAACAGTATACTGTTCGTCTCGGTACACAGTGTAACACTGGCTACAAAATGTCTACTGCTCGTCATGTTACTCTGAGAAACACTCACGACACACCACATGCTGCTGGTTACCATTTCCTGTGCGTCAGCGTGGGAAAGTCTCCCCTTGACACCAAATACAAAAAGAGCAAATACTCAAAAATACTGCATGCTTAATCAGTGTTGTATCATCTCCTCTTATAGTGGCTTGGGTTAAACTAATATTTACAGACGTAGAAGTTACGCACTATAGCTTTAATGCAAGTATGTCCTTTTTTTTTTGTTTTGACAGCTTTGGTAAATAATTCCCAATCTTTGGGGTTTTCTGGACATCATAAACATTTCATGATATTGTCTGACAACAACAAAAAGACATGTTTATAACCCTTCAGCTTTGCTTTCTCCTCTCCTGCGCAGTGACCCTATCTCCATCACGGTTCAAGCATTCCTGCATGAAAACGAGGTGGTACCATTATCCATGACTTACCAGTCCCTCTACGTCACCACGGAGACACAGGTGGCCATTGCCGGAATCATCCTGGCCGGGGTTTATGTTCTCATCATCTTTGAGGTAATTTGCAGCATGAATGATGAATGAGTGTGTGTGTGTGTGCAATAGAGTACCATGCGTGCCTAGAATAAGTAGGCAGTAAGTATTTCAGCAGAGGAAGGTCTGAATTCTTCTGTTATCCACAGTGACCAACGAGGATGATAACTTTCTCTGGTCAATAATAAACTGTTCCACTTAGTGCCCTAACAGTCCAGAGGGGCTGACCCTGTGATGACTGGATTTTCTCTTACACATGTTTTTTTTTCTTTTTTAATTTGCATGGTTTGTTTTGTTTATTTAGTCCCTGTACTTTGCAAATATACAGCTCTGTTGTAAAGGTGCTTCACATGCATTCATATGCCACTTTTTCCCCTGTTATCCATGATATATTGAAAATAGAGACCTAAGGGGCTCTATCCTGATTTAGAACTGCATTTCTACAAAGTTGTAAGATTTTGTGTGGGAGACAAATCTAAAAGATAGTTCACTTTAAAATTAAAGTAGCAGAGAGCAGAACATTATGACCTTAACTTACAGTACAAAGTAGCTGTGTGGGTTTGTTGTGCTGAAAGCAGGGCTCTAACAACTTTACATCTATTTTTACCTTTTCACACAATGCAGGTATGCATAGTTTCATACCTCAGCTCTAAAGTTTGGATCAAACAGTATGATTATATTCCTTGACAGATAAATCTGGTGACAGATGCTGGAATAGCTTGCTGAGCTAATCTGTGCTGAGTCGCAGCAAAGATGTTGGAGATGCCTGAGACTTTCCTAGGGGCAGCTGGCCTGCTGTTGCTGGGGGAACAGAGTGTAGACTCTGTGGCTCAGCTTTGGTCGCTAATGCCATACCACCTTGATAGGTGCACAGAACAGTCAGTCGTGTTGCAGGTGTATTGAACTTCACTTGTGTATACTCTGCAAACAGCCACTGATTTATTCAGTATGCTTCCTGATTTCCAAAAGCCAAAATGTGTCCAAACATTGGGCTTGAGGCCATCCGGCTTGATAAACTCTTATTTGTCTTGCCTCTCTCAGATATCAGACATCCGAGCACTGCTTATCTGGATTAGGCCCAAAGTTTGGATTTACTTTCCCTTAAACTTGCAAGAATGCATCCACATGAATGACATTTGTTTTGCAAAATAAATGACTGTGTCAATACCATTGACTGTATTAAGAATGGACGCTGTCTGCCTCATCACTTGGTGAAGCCACCCCGAGAACAGCACCCTCTGGTGACAGGCTGCAGTATAGGTCATAAATCCCCCCTCTTCCTGCAATCCATATGGAGCTGTGGACAAACTTTAGAAATTAAATACTCAGAATATACATTTTTCTTTCCCCTGGTTGTGATAATGACATGTAGTTACTATAAGACTGGTTCGAGCTCAAGTCCTCTTTTTCTGTACAGCTCCATTTTTAAAAGCTATTAGGCGGTTCTTGTTTTCTATGACTGAAACTTGATACAGCCTATGGGCACACGAAGATTGCATAACTCATTCGGTTGATACCCTATTTGAGCCAAGCGTCATAACAGTGACTCTCCTGCTGAATGTGTACAATGCTACTGCGCAAGTGGTTCCAGGAAGTGGAGAAAATTCTGGAAATATCGAGAGCAAATCGGCTTCAAATTTGTGTAATGACAGAAGGCTGAGCCAAGTTGTCCATAGTTTATACAGTCTTTGGTCGGTACAATTGATGATTTGCTTTGAAAGACGATTACAAAGTGACATGTGTCATACAGGATTGTTGCACAGCCACTTACTTATCCATACAGGCTGATTGTGGGAATTAAAACCGTGCATCAATGCAAAGAGTGGAAGTAATTCATTAACCTGAAATCACTAAGTCATTGGTTTGATGTTGAACATTTGACACTTAATAATGCATCATCATTTTATAGTGTTTTTATCATCCGTGACCTCAAAGTGCTTTACATTGGATACATCATTCATTCGCTCACACAGTCACACCCTGGTGGTGGTAAACTACCTTAGTAGTCACAGCTGCCCTGGGGCAGACTGGTGGAAATGTGGTTGCCAGATTGCACCTACAGCCTCTCCGACCACCACCACACAACACTCACAATCATACACTCGTGGAGGACACACACTGGCAGAAACGTGGGTTAAGTGTCTTCCCAAGGACACAATGGACAGACTAGGTATAGGGGGGAATCGAACCGCCAACCTTCCAGTTTTAGACGACCGCTCTACTTCCTGATCTACTGCAACACTCAGCAAGTCAGTCACATGAAATAATGACTTTTTCCCTACATATTTGTAATCAGCACTTAAATGCGTTGCACTTTAGTTTTTGACTACACAAATCCTTGTTTAGATTTTAGCTCCCTGGATATACAGCTGTTATTTTCATCTCTTATCAGTCAGTGTTTAGTTTTAATTAGACAGGCTAATCTCCAGGAGTGCAACAAGGTGTGAACTTGCTAATCTGTGCCTGCAGGAGCATCACTATGAAGAGAAAGTGAACAGTAGGCTGTGAGAGATGACAGCACAGTAACACTGCACACACTCCCATGTGCCAGCTCTGTTGCTGGCAGTCAGCTTGCCGACGCTGTAATTGAAAGTGTGAGCGATTGTCTGTAAAGCAGGAGAGCATACAGTGCACAGCTATTCAGACATCAGCAAGATGTCATCAGACTTCAACTCTGTCAGTGAATGCCTCACTCTGCAGAGGACATTTATTTTCTCCATTAAACTTTAGTTTAATAACTGATCTTATTTTTAATAGGCACTTGAGTGAAATGTTCCCACAGAGGTCTAAAGTAGAAAATTGCTGCACAGTTTTTTTTTGACAAAGGCTGAGGCAATTAAGGAGGATATTTTTGTTCTCGTTTCTGCGTTATTTGAAAAGATTGGACAAAATGATGTTTCAAGATGTCTAAAGAATGTCCAAGCTTTTATCCAGTTTGATTGACAGGAACCAGATTAATGCTGAGTAGTTCAATGAGGTCGGCATGCATTACAGACAGGTGTCCTCATCAGAAATACATTTCTCTTCCTCCTCACTATTAAAACAACCTTACATATTGCAAAGACAGTAGAAACGTATTTTCTAAAAATTGTCAGAATACATTATTTTCTGTAATTCATTACCATAGCATGAATGTCAGAAGAGCAGCTGGGGTTACCCAGCCATGCCTGTCATGAGCCTCAGTTTAATAGGATATGATGCATCATTACAGAAGTGATGGAGAAGTGCTACTCTGATTAACATGGTAGAATTGTTTATCAAATCTCCTTTTGCAGTTCTTTTGTTTGATAAAGAAAATAATGACTTGCAATCAAAAGCTTGTTATTATACAAGCCACAAGAAGATTTTTGACTCATATTTCCTGTTCCTGCTGAATTTGGGATCTTCAAAAAATAATTGAGTTTTTAGACATTTCTTCGGGTTCAAGTTTTAAGATGCTGTATACCAACGATTCGTTTTTTTAACAAATACCAAATCAACAAATATTGGCAGGAGCAAAAAAAATACTGTAAGCTATAATACAAAAAAACTTACCAAAAAATAATTTCTTAAAGGTGGGTAAACAAATCACTTTAGAATAAAAAAAGAAATAAAAAATAAAAAACAAAGGCAAAAAGCAAACAGCCATAAAACTGGAACTCAGGGTTTCGAAAATCCATAAGTTTTGAGGTGAGCCTCCATGTATCAAACTTGGTTATCTAGCCCAATCAAGCATCCCTCTAACACTTATTTGGATTGAGTCCTGGGAAATTTTAACTAAGTCATTACCGTTGAGTTGGGCCACCTGCAGCCTTGCAGCACTGTATTTATAACACTGTTGTGAATGGTGCTTAAAAAAGCATTATATTAAATGATCATATCTGCCATGTTTCACTCCCAAAGTGTATCAGTGAGCCTTGGCCACTCATGACCATGCCACAGGTTCACCAATTTTCCTTCCTTGGCCCACTCATGGGAGACACTGACCTCTGCAGACTAGAAACACCCCACAAGAACAGCAGTTGTTCACCTCAGTTGTTTGGTTATGACTGTTTGGCCCTTTCGTATGACACGTGCCTATTTTTGCTGCTTCAAATGTACCAACTTCAAGGACTAAATGATCACTTTCTGCCTCATGTGTCACACACTGAGAGATTTTTATGTTTCGAGACAATCAATAAAATTCCCTTCATGCTAGAGGTCCCGTTATGTCTGATTGGTGTATGTCTTACACATAAGGTGGTATTTGTGACTTAATGCATGTACCTTCACAGAAGTGAGTACAATTACTCTGTCGACACAAATGTACAGAATTTTAGATACATGTCAAATGAAGACTATTTTTGGTGAAAGAGACTGTTGATACCTAAAAGTTAATACTGATCTGAAATATTGTCACCTTCTGTGATTTATAGCTGTTAAATTGGGCGTTGATGATGATTTCACTTTCTTTCTCAGATTGTGCATCGCACTTTGGCTGCCATGCTGGGATCTTTCGCAGCCTTAGCAGCCCTGGCTTTCATTGGTGATGTAAGTTTTCTCCTGTTTTAACGAGACATTAAATCACTAAAAATTTGATGTTGCTTATTCTAGCACTATATTTATGTCAATACGTGAGATGGCAATTTGATAGCAATTTTAGGGAACAATAACCAGAGCTTGAAATTGATAACAAGTTCAAACTTGCTTTGTCTGAAAACTCATGAAAATGAAATTATAGTCTGAACTCATTTCTGATTTCCAACGGGCTTATTTTGAGGCTAAAACCAATAACAGCAACAAAACATTGAAGATTGTGCAAGTCTGGTAGTGTATGTGATGGAGCATAATAGACAATTATTTGACACAACAGTACAAGGAGCCAATTGTGTTTGTATCTTGAATTACTGTCCAGGTTAATTGATGCTGATGAGATGGAAAAATCTGAACATTTCATTTCTACAACTTTATTGATGAGAAAGCCTCAACTGCTCTTAAACTCACCAAACTGTAACTTCCCAACTTTGTGAATGGCCTGAACTGAATAAATGGATTTCTACAGAATATAGGACAGTGGATTAAAATAAGATGAAATAATCTTGTCTTTGTGAAAATTGTGAGCAAACGGTTCTGTCTAGATGGAGCTCTTCTTACTGTTTTATCCAAAAATAGGACCAGACTTGTCTCGGGTTTAATTGATCACTGAGTTTAAGAAATTAAAGCGTTGACCACTGCATACATTTGAAAGCTAGACAACAACCTGAAGCACAATAGTTTATCATTTAAAAACACTAGAGTGCGCCACCCTGTGCATAAACTCTGGGCTAAAATGGCCACCATAACAGCATGGTCAAAAATAGGGTCAGTCAGACTTCGTTTTTGTTTACAAAATATTTAATTTTTGTCAAATCTTGATTCAAATCTTTTATATTAATTATTAGTTCATCAATAAGTATTCCCACAAGAACCAGATTGTACTCTATCTTGAAAAAGGTGAACTTAACTGCATTTTATATCTATGGCCAAAAATATTTTATATATTTTATTTTTTTACATATTGATTTTATTTGATAAATTCATGGCTTACTACATCACATCATAGTTTTAAAGATTATTTTATCAGAATGGACCAATTGTTAGTGTAGGAAGTTTCACTTCGACCTCCTCTGAAACAACAAGTCTTTGTGAAGGACTAAAAAACATCCAAAGAGAGGATATGGGCCAGGGAGCAGTTCAAGCAGTTACATTAAAGTTATTCACACTTTTAAGAGGTTTGCTGAGAACATGTGAGTGATCTCAGGACTAAATCTCAGTGTATTTGACTCAAACTTATTCCTTCCTTTCTGTTTAAGGGTTTTGTCCGCAAATCTGCTTGTTAAAAAAATCTGATTAATTAAATCTCATTTGATTCCTTGTTTATCCCACAGCGGCCCAGTCTGGTTACTGTGGTTGAGTGGATTGACTATGAGACACTGGCTCTCCTCTTTGGCATGGTAAGACTCTTCATCAGTTTTTTTTTAACGTTTGTCTACCCAACAACTCTTACAGGCAGAAAAGTCAGCTTCTCCTTTTCTTCATTGTATATAACCACCTGACACCTTGAATCCACTTATTGCCATTTCTAACAGCCTTCAAACCAATGACAGGGAAATCTGTCTGTGGAGGCAAGTGAAATTGACAGAATAAGATCTTGTCTCCATGGAAACAAGCATGACCTGTCAAGTAAGGTATAAATTGGAGGGTGTCTTGACAGTGTCTTATTGAAACATTTCTTTTAGACACATTCTGACTTTATAGCAGATAATTAACCTTTGAATATAGCATCTTTTTTATTGACCTGAAGGATAATTATCACAGCTCAGTAATATCTGAATTTCATGTTAAAGCATGACCATAGATGGCAACTTCTTTAAAAAGATTCCACTGTCAATGGCTGCCACCAAATTGTTATTACATTGTGCAAACTAGAGCAGAGTTTCTGGAAATATTTAAACAGTAGGCAGCTCATTTCAAAGGTTAAGATTAATGATAATGATAAAAAATAATTTGATGGTCTGCAAATTATTCAAACCCTGTCTTTGAAAAATGGAACAAAGACAAAACATGTGTGTACAGAGAGGGCAAAGTTAACCAGAGTTAAATTCCTTGTATGTGTACACATACTTGGGCAATAGAGATGATTCTGATTCTGAAATGTTGAAACAGAAAAGTTTCAGGCTGTTTCATTTGAAGTTATACTCATTTTGAATGTGATGTCAGCAATACATTTCAAATGTTGCACAGGATCATGTTGATTACTGTGTTGCATCACCTTTGTCAACAACTCTGTAAACTATTGGTTTCTCGAGTTTTGTGAAATGTTGTTCCATTCTTGCCTGATATACGATTCCAGCTGCTCAACAGTTCAGGGTCTTCTTTGTCATGCTAGTTTTCACAGGAGACTGGTAGAGGCAGCATACAGGGCAGTTTAGGATCTAAATTCTACCACTGAGTGATGCAGTTGTAACACATGCAGAATATATTACATACTTTCATATTCTTTTGGTTGTTGACATTAAAGGCAAAAATTCTGTGTTTAATTAATGATTATGTACTCAACTACTTATTGATTTTAGATTACAAAGGTAACCCTGGTTCTCTGATGACATTCGCTTGGTACCGCACTATAGAATAGAGTATGCCCCTCTGCATATTCCTCAGAAGCCCAGTGCCTTCCCGCCAGCCACATTGGCTGGCAGTCATGACTAGTGCATCTAGAGGAGGGACATGCCCTCCCTATACAAGGGCTGACACAGCATCACCACAGCATTGAAAAAAAGCACACCTCTTCCTCGTTTCACACACAGACTGATAAGATACCTCACTCGTGTGATCAAAGAACTGGGGTTACTTTTGTAACCTAAAGGTTTCTTTCAAACATTCGCTCAATATCTCAACCATGGGAATTATGCTGACTACCATATTGCCAGATGAGCTTATCTTGAAACCTTCAGGCTGATGACTCACAGTCTTAAGATAAGCCCACACTCAGCACAGTATGTGCCAAAGAAAGTGCAGTGACATCAAGTGCATCAAACCTTGCAAAGGTATAAGGTGATGCCCAACCGGCTTGAATAGGTATTACTCTGAACAGGGCCCAGGATGATGCCATCCCCATCAAACCATCAAACCATCATCTGAGACTAAATAGAGATTGGAGAAGCTTAAATACCACTGACCCGCTTTGAAAATGCCAGTGCCAACAAAAGTCTGAAGTGAGAGCACCTAAAGATCAACCTGATCTGAAGGCTCGAACAGAGGATGAGACAGACAAACAGTTGACAATGCCATGATGGGGCAAGCTGTTCGGAAACTGGTTGTGGACGGCGAGCACCCTTTATAAAACTGCTGATTAGGGGATGTTGCCCCTCATCCTTTCCATCAAAACCAACTTGACATGCTGCCTTTTCCACCAAGTAAACCTTGACTGTGAAAAAAGTTTTGCCTTTGTCCAGCAGTTTATGCAAAAAGCTAAGAATTGTGGGAGCTGAGCACTGGAAAGGCATCGTCTGTGATCTTGAACACCAGGCCTCAAATACACACCATTCACAGTCATATAGGGACCTGGTAGAAGAGGTTTGAGCACACTGAGTGGTCTTAATGACATGTATGAGAGTTCTAAAGAGGTTTTGTCTCTTATCGGCCAAGCCCAGAGTGCAAGTCGCTCTGGGTCAGCATTAAAATCTCCCCCTGTACCTGCAATAGCAAGTCCCTATGCAGGGGCAGAGGCCATGGTTGTGATTCACTGCAAACAAAATTTATCTGAGGGTACAAATGAGGTAACCTTTGACCTTTGGTTGGCCATCCAGACGCTGGTAGACTTTTGCTATCCATTGCCTCCCTGGCCAATGAGGAGCTATCAGGATAAGTGTGACGCCCCTCTCCCTCATCCTGACCAGAGTTTCCACTCTCCATGAAGGGGGTTGCCTCTGGAGAGTTAGTCTGCCCCACAGTTGTGTACTTCCGCCCAAAGAAATGCTTTACCACAGCATGGTAGTATAAATGGTACAAATCAAAGTTCTTGTCAGGTAGGATATGGGTGCCCACATACAACAATACCTCTGAAGTTGTTACTTATCTTGTCCCGTACAAATGTAAGCAGCGTTATAGAAAAAGGATTTCTTTTGCTTTCTTTCAACAGTGAATATGTCCTTTATAGAGAGTCTTTGCATTGGGAAATAAAAAAAAAAAGGCTGTTTTTGCAGTATTCATTTCATCTGACTCTCTTCTAGCAGCAGCTGTTCAGGAATTAAAAATAGCTGCTTTGAAAGTTAGACTTTATGTTGATAGTGTCTTATGCTTTTGCAGAAGTGAAGAGGCATCAGTTAATTTAAGTCTTTCAATACCAGCAAAATATCCCTCACAGGAGCTTTAATGTGTGCCTTAATTCAGGATGGATTAAAGGTTTCTGCAGCTCATAATTTTCTATTGATTAGACTGCTGTGACTTCATGTTGTCAGTGTTCATTCAATACATCTTTGAGATATTTAATATTTACTTCACGCATCAGCTAAATGCATCAAGTCAGCTTGATTTCCACTGAGCTGTTTTCCTCTACCATATAAACATGCCCTGTTGTAATTCAGCTCACTTCATGTATATTAAAGACTGTGGGAAATTATGTCTTCTTTTGAACCAAATCTGTTCAGTCATTTGACTTGTTTGTTAGAGGTGAGAGAAAGGAGAATATGTTTCATTCTACTTAAATTTGTACAAAATTTATCACGACTCAGGGTTTAACTCAATCCAGTCCAACTGTTAGGCATTACAGTAGATAAGGTGTTCCTACTTTAATATGTAACATATCAAAATGTAATAAGAGGGTAAACCATGAGAAATATATGTGAAAAGAATATCTTAAACTCTGCACACATCTCTTTTACTGATAGCTGTAAGTCTTTACAATATTCTTATCTGCTGTAATTGTTGATGAGTATCAGGGTTGCTTTTATACTTGTCATACAATGGAAACTATATGAACCTATTTTTGATTAATATGTCCTTTTTTTCCCTTCCAGATGGTTCTAGTGGCCATTTTCTCAGAGACTGGCTTCTTTGATTATTGTGCCGTAAAGGTGAGTTTACTGTATGATGGTAATGATAGTGAGTTTAAAAACCAACACAGAAAATGACAAAATCAGTCCAAACATTTGATAAAGGTAAAAGTTATGAACATGATAGTTTGAGATAGATTTAATATTTGATCAGCAGACTTTGGCATTGTAAAGTATTGATTGACAGATCTAAGATATCAAATGACAGCTCAATCTTTTTATGTTGACCTATCTGACCTTAAAAGATTTAAGAACTCTTCCTGGATGTTTTAACAAGATTTGATGTCTGTGTTTACATCCTGACTTTAAGGCAGAGCAAGAGAACAGGCTGACAAGAATGACACTGAGATGTTGCCCTATCATTACTGTTACCACATTTCTGACTGAGAGGGATCATCTTCTTTAGACATCACCCTCTAAATCTTTTTGTTTGTCTTTTTAAAAAAAAAGATCGGACTGTGGGAATCTCAGTTTAGCTCGGTTGGTGGAGCAGACAGCATGTGTGCAGTGACTACACTCACACTGGTCATGGGATCAGTTCCCCTCCCTGGGGGCATCATTCCCGTTCTCTTCCTCTTTGTCTGGTTTCTCTCTAAGGCTGCCCGGTGTAACAACAGCTAAAAACCTCTCAGAAATCTGTATTTGAAAACCCCCTAAGGAGAAAAGAAGAAAATTAATTATTTTTTCTTTCTCACAGTTTTTGAGCAGTTCATGATTTTTTTTTCTTTGTAATGTATTTTTGGCTCTTGTAAACAACCTCAAGTGGACACTCAGAGAACTGCAGCTTTTAGCATGAATTCATTGGTTTCATTTTCATCACCAGAGGTACAACCAATAACAGTTGATGACATTGATTACAAATAGGAGCTCATTGACACAGATGAGAGACATTTATTTAAAAATTTATAAGTAAAGACATGAAATGACCACAACTTATTTTTAGCCAAAATTCTGACAAATTAATGTTGCTCACTGTAGCTTAAATAGGACCGTTGCTTATGAATTAAGAAAAATGTTGAACCTGTGAATACTAAAACCATAATCTGGTCTATATCATCAACCTTATACTTAAGAGTACTTGAAGGTGTGACAGCTTGAAGTACACAAAAACTCTGCAGCTAAAAGTCACTGTGTTTGTAGATTAGGATCAGGCCATTGAGACTCAAATGGATTGCATGCATGTTGTTTGAAAAGAGGCCTCTGTGGCTTCAGCCTCAAACAGGACAATTATGCACGGTGGAGTTGATTCTCAGGATTTATATTTCCGTACATTATCAGACTTAGAGGTGTCTTTTACCTGGATTTTATTCTGCTGGTGCTCTGCTGCTCATCCACGTGTATCCTATAAATATGACACGTTCTCATATTAGTCTCTTACTCCAAAGCAAAACATAATGTCATCATCCTTTCTGTGCAAGGTCAAGGTTTTTCAACCACCAGAAAAACATCGGTTTTAATCCTGAATGCTCAGCCTGGATGGTGAAGGAGGTTGAATGCCTTTCGTCCTTCAGGTGCAGAGCCACTCAGACCTGGAGAACAGAGGGATTATGCAGGCTCATGAATTTTAAGTGTGAGTTGGACGAGGGCAGGCACTCTAAATTAAAATACCTTCCTCGAGAACAGCTCGGACATGTTGTACTATTGCCTCCTCAGCCTGGCCGTCCTGGGCTTGAGAGTAAATCTGAGCCGAGTTCTGTCTAAATATTGTGTGGCTCCTTTTTGAAAAACACAAGTCATCCTCTCACACTAAATCTCATAGGAGAAATGTTATTTCACTGTGACATTCTTGATGTTCAGAAAATTAAACGAAGCATTGTCTACTCAGCCACTCAGTGATCACTTTGACTCTGCTTTAAATCTGTCGCACTCAAACTGAGAACTAATCAAGACATCCCTGTAATGGTTTTTCCTATTGCTTATATTAAAGTTGCACATAACTTCTCTCTGCAGGCCTACCAGTTATCCAGAGGAAGAGTGTGGCCGATGATCATCATCCTCTGTCTCATCGCTGCCATTCTCTCTGCCTTCCTTGACAATGTGACAACAATGATGCTCTTCACCCCTGTCACTATACGGTACAGTACAGGCTCCATCTTTGTGTCAATCTGTTTACCTGCTTGTTTCTGCAGCTAAAGGCAGGTAAGTGATATCAAAGAGTGACATGGAAAATGGAAACCAACAATAGTGTTGCTAATAATGTGTTGCTAATAAACTTGATAACATTATAGAAAGAAATTCACAGAGCAGTAAGTAGCCAGATAACAGAAGGGATGAATGAGTTTTAGGGAGTTAAGAGGTAAAGCAGCCCAAATATATAACAGCTATCTGATGGCGATGGATGAAATTGTTGTCAACTGTCCTACAAGAGGCTCCAAGAATTGACTTATCAATTTTAGACCCCAATGAAGGTCTTGTCTTGAAGTAACAGATTAAAAAATGATCAGCTGATCATTGCCTTAATTAGAGGTTTACTTCAACTAGACATACAATAGTTTTTAAGTATGAGTTCAGAGAAAATCAGCACCCATGTCTTGCAGTGTTTAGTATAATGGAGTATTAGGACCATGTCATAGTGGCAAAATAATTGGGAATTTGAAATAAAAAAAAAGAGGCCAGCTAAATTTACAAGAAAAAAAGTCGTAGTAGTCTACATCAATCCACCGGTTATTTTGAAGGGGAACATCAGAAGAGCATTTAGCCGTCTGCTGTAAAAATGTTGAGCATCTTGTGAAATTGTACTCAAATACAGGTTTTATTAAAAAAAGAAAAACTCAGTCTATTAGCAGATCAGTCACATTTTTACAAACATGAAGGTTTTGAATTTGTTGTACCAGAGGAAGGGCAGGAGAGGTAGTCCAAGTGGACTTGTGTGTTCTGTTCACACCAATCGCTAAATAAAGTCACTTACTCGCTTGATTAGGGCGTATCTGGACACTTGAATGATGTGTGTTTAACTGCTCCATTCATGTGTTTATATCACGTATGCAGAGTGCCCAAACACACACGTGATTGTAAGAAAGGAGGAAAAGAAAGGATGGGTTTCCAGTACATGTCAAGTCAGTCTGTTTGCATCACCCATAGCTGAAGTTGACCAGATTGTGAGGATCTGTTGTGTTAAAACGATTTAGCAGAAAACCTGAAATCTTTACTTCCTGTCTTTCATGTGAGCTTGTTTCAAGTCTGTCTTGATATCAAACAATCTGTATCCAATATCTCAGATGGCCTCATACAGGTGCGATCAGTTTATTCTCTGTTTTTCACAGGAATCAATCTCCTGGTCTGTTGTTGACATATGACAGCAGGGACTCTGTGCTGATTGGCTATTGTGGCACCATTTACTCGCTTGAGTTTGGATTTATTAACTCCACAGAGATGCGATTAATTTGAACAGTCCGTACAATTCGCACTATTTGCACAGCCTTATCTGTGTCATTTGTGTTGCCAACAAAAAATTGTGTCTAATCACATCTTTACATTGACTTTACCTGCGCAATGATTTTATTCATGTTTGGTGTGACGCACTGTGACAACCACTGTTTGCCTATTCAACTGTTTAGTTTGTCACAATATAATTAAAGTTACTCATCATCAAGCAGACAGCTGGCTGATTCTCTGATATCATTATCTATAGAGACTAATCAAGAATGAAGACTGAAGAATTTGAATTTACAATTTTTTTTTTGTTCAATTTGTGACTCTTTGGTCCTCTGACAATTTTTTTTCTTTTTAAAAATCTGCCTCAGTTCTTGTAAAAGTAAAACTTCATTCTTGAGAGCTCAAATGATTTTATTCTGTATGTGACCCTGATTCTCTGCTGTAGTTCAGCTTGTGCATATTTTTGACAGAAAGGCTGCACTTTCAGAAATGTCTATTTTCTTGCAGTGTGGTACAAAAGATAAACACTATTGCAGTCATTAGGACACTGTGACATAAATTTTACTACACATTTTAATCTGTCATAACGCTGAAATATATTAGTATGCATAAATGATTGAATGCACAATACAGTGGTATGTGAAAATCCTGCAACAACGTTGTGACTTGAAAGAAGAGTGAATAGATACTTTGTTTCAGATTATTACCTTGTAGGATGGAGTTCTGCTGTTACATATGTTAATTAGTAAGCAATTAAATGTTCTGTTGAGCTGAATACTTTGCTTTTGAAAGAGCTGAACTAGCTGTTCCAAGTCTTTGTGCTGAGCTTAGCTGACTGAGTACTTTTTGACACATCATGTTTACCATTAACATTTTTTAACTGTATTGATTAATAACTTATAACTTATTAATAACTTATTAGAAATGCTTTTTGTTTTGAAATGGTAAAATACTGCTAAGGTACAGAATGAATAACATTAACATTAAATGTTTTCTTAACATTAAATGTTAACTTCTTGCATCCTTTCATTGGCTCAATAATACAGTAGCTAATATTTTTATTGTAAATTGCCAAATCAGCAACAAACTCAGACCCTCCCCTCTGAAAAGGCTGAATATATATAAAGCAGGAAAACAGGTTACAACCCTAAAACAGATCCACTCCAAGGAACCTATAATTTACTCTAGTGCCCTGTCTCACAATCAAGTTTTGTGGTCTTCCTCACAGTGTTATTAACTCTATTTTCTGATCTTGTATAGAATCCCAGCAGTGAACCATTGTAAAGTCCATATTTGTTTTTATAGAAGTTCAGATTAGTGATAATATTTGACACGACTGAAATTAGACACGCCACAAAAAAACTACAAGTCTGTTTTAATGCTCTAGCCTGCTATCAGGACAACATGGGGTATATCCTCTATAGCCACAATGTTAAAGGACCAATGCTTTTTATCTTCCAATATCCGTTTTATATTGCTGTATTACTTTCTCCCACACATCACAATCTAATCAGAGCTAAAGGGCTTTTCTGTCTATCTGATTTTGCAGGTTGTGTGAGGTGCTTAATCTAGACCCCAGACATGTCCTGATTGCAGAAGTAATCTTCACCAACATCGGAGGGGCTGCCACAGCTGTCGGTGATCCACCCAATGTGATTATAGTATCAAATCAGGACCTGCGCAGAGAAGTAAGCACTTTCACAGCTCTCATGTCTCAACTTGCTCTAATATAGTGCAACAGATCAGCCCGGTGTAATCTGACACATGGACCAGACGCTTAGTGTATCTAACATAATGCTTTTCCTACCCAACTTAAACCCTTAATACTCGAATTAGATGAAGAGAAAATTGCTGTTTTAAGCCCCACAAATATGAAATGCGTATGAACAGTTGAAGAACATGTCAAGTGATTTTTTTCTTTGTGCCTTTGTTTGTCTTCTGTATAATCTATTGTATATATTTCAGAGATTCAGATTTGAAGCAGAGGGATGCCAAAAGTCTCAGCTAATTGGTTTTGGTCAGTGGGTCTGTCCCATAGGGAAAGTTAATGTAGTCAATGCACGGTCCATCAGTGCTTGTAACTGCAAATCCTATTTCTGCTGTGCTCTGCTGCTGCACCTGTGGCCAGCAAGGCAGATACAGACACAGATGGTACTTGAAAGAGCTACACAGAAACTGCACATTGTGGACTTTGTTAAAAGCAAATGAAGTCTGTACAAAATGATAACATCTTAACCTTTTTTCTGCTTGGAGCCCCCAAAAACTAACTGTATCATCCATACCAGTGCAATTTACTGTATATCCCAGAATTAAAAGGGATATCCCAGCGTAAATTTAAGTCATGGTCAAACACACCGTGACACCAAGTTAGACACCCCCTTGAGAGATGAATGTTGCCGACTGCTTGCGTCTCTAGTCTAGTCATAAAGTTATATCTGTATAGATGATCACCAGAGTTTTGTGGCTCAAGGCAGAACATTTATGATCATTTCTTCATAGAAATGCAATCAGACTGAGATGCTGAGGCAGAGGAACTACTGCGTCTGCAGTGCAAAATGACTATTATTATTATTATGGTTTTTACTTCATTGAAATGATCCGCTGAACTCGATGATTGACTCGTCAGGGCTCCCCCATTTACAAGCGGCTGCTGCAGGAGAGTGGTTTGCTAAAGAAACCAGGCAAAGCTAAAAAGATGTTTGATGGCTAGTACTAATGCAGGGACCCTATATGAACTGTTGACTGTTAGATAGGTTAGGTGCTGTTCTGAGCATTATTTGTGGCTATAGAGTGGCTTGAGGTTTGCGCATGGAGACGTAGACGTGGAGACGTGGAGACGTGGAGACGTGGAGACGTGGAGACGTGTATTGCTATCGTGTGGTTGTAACAAAAGTTAGTATATCTCGAGGGGGTGTCTAACTTGGTATTACAGTGTGTTTGACTAGAGCTTAAATTTACGCTGGAATATCCCTTTAAGGTATCTGTTAGAGGCATGATCAGCTGTAACATTTAGATAGCTGGATCAAGTTTTATGACCACCGAACAAAAGTGACTCAGATGATGAATTATGTCCACATTTGAACTTTATAAATTTTATTTCTAGGTTAGTTTTGAAAAGGTTTCATAGTTTAGGGTTGACCCTATATTTGGCACCTAACTATGCACTTTACTTCCTGAAGGTTATATCCCTGAAGTACTCTTTTGGGTTTCTGTCTCCTCTGTGAAGCAATTTCCATAAAGTAATATCTCAGCGTAAGTAAGTTTAATGGCACTGGACAAAGAAAACATATAATAATAAAAATGATTTTGTTTGAAGAGAGCTTTTCAAGACACTCAGAGACACTCTACACTGCAGGGCAAATGAAGATCCCAGAGAAGTGAAAATGTGTGTTGGTTAGTCATGCTCCTGGAGAGCAGCAGTAAAAAGCCTTCTTGTTGTGCAGAGTTTCTCTAAAGCCATCATGTGCCTTAAATAAGCTCTGACATTCATGACCCAGCACAGCTTCTGCAGTGCATAAATCAGAGTGGAGAAACAGACAGTTGCATGTTGTATGTTATGAGTATGCGCTTTAGGTAAATGTTATCATCAGTTTGTTGCCAGGGTGTTCATATGATATTTCTGCTCACCACAATTGCTGTGTATTTATACACTCCTGAGTCATGACCTCTATTTATGTTGATATGCAGGTGATGAATGGAGATGTTGTAGCAGGGAAGGCAATTTATATTTTTTTGCTGCTGCCGCCATAAATCACAGGAATCAGAAATGTCAGAATAGCAAAGGAAAACACTAAAACACCTTTCTGTTTCAGTGTACCTGCACAGTGGAACACAATGTTGCACAAGCAAATTTCCTGGAGACATCATTTATGAGATATTTTTTGTTGTCTCCATCAAGAAGATCGTGTGCTATTGTCTGTGTTTCTGTTTGTTCTTAACAGGAGCACCCAAAATAAACTATTGTCCTTAGAAATAGGTAGCATGCTGTAATCGCACAGAAGCAGCGAAAAACCAACGAAATTTGACCACCTTTGTCAAATAATGGCAGATCAAACACACCAAACAAACAAAAAATCTTGGTCTTTTGAGCCCAATTTTTCATAACTGAGATCAAATGAATTCATTTGAATCTTTCAGGTAAACGTGAGACTGATGTTAGCTGATGTAGGAGTTTGAAGTCATGTTGCCTGAATTAACAAAACAACCTATTATAAGTAGTCACATCTAAGTAAAGTAGTAAGATTTACATTTTTATACTACCATATCCAGACCAAATTATTGATTACTTTTGCAGACTAGTATGTTGTGGAAGACATCCATCTGGGCAGGGGTGTGTGCTTGAGGGGGATTCTCCAGGTTCATGCAAGCTTTTGTGAGTCGTATTATAACCGAATTTGAAACAGACTAAAAAATGATATGTTTTCTAGTACATGGCAATGCCATTAAATGATGGAAAAACTCAGTAAATCAAGAGACACAACACAGATGACTGACAAAATCAAGTGTCTATACTGACAACTTTTAGTGTGAAGGGAGTGGGAGTTAAGTTGAACTTGATTAACTTGACCCTAGTAAGGGTCTGAAGCTCTGTTATGTTAACAGTGAGATGCTTATCCACCTTCTTGAAGGCACAGCAGAGAGAGACTAATCAGCCTGCTTACCTTTTTCTTATAGAGCCAGCAGGTCAGTTGCCAGCGGCCTGATGAGTCTTACGCAACATCCACAAATCAACAGATATCTTTAAAAAAATGTTTTTCCCTTACTTCTTTCAAAAACTGCCAGAAGTATTTTTGAACATTTCCCTGTGCACAGGACAGTGCAGAAATGGTTGGTGTGAATAATGAATTATCGGTGTGTCAGGGCCAACACCATGGAACAATTTTGTGCCTATGTATACTGAGCATCTTCTTGAACAGGCTGCAGTTATAAACATCATTCTCAAAACTCTGTGCAGTGGATGATAAAAAAATGATTGAGCAGGAAATATACATAGAGCTCTGCAATGAAACTGTACAGTACTAAACCTGTGTCTGATTCCAGTAAACGAAAAGGAATGCTTGCATGTAAACTGGAGACCAAGTCGTAAATATAAAAAAAAATCTATGATTTAGAAATATCCTCTTATGGGCAGACAGGACCTCAGAGTGACTCTGCTTGGTCCTGGTGAATGAACCTTTACTTCTGGTGACTCTCCTTGCTTTTAAGGCAACTTTGGCTCTGATTATCCCATGGTCTGTGAGTGTGTCTCATGTATGCAGTGACTGCAACACCTGAAATAGGAAGAAAATTCCACTATCAGCTGTCCCAACTTTTGCATGTGCAAAGATTATTAAAAACAAAACAAAACACTAAACTAAAAATGTACAGGAAAAACATCAGCAAAGAGGAAAGAGGTCTACTTTGTCCACAGGGGGTGCCAAGTCTTTACAAAACATGACTTCCTCACAGAGCTTTGGATATAAGATGCCACAGAGATTATACAATATTATAAGCACTACAGCTGCTCTTTAAGTCCCCTCTGGTAGCACATTTAATTATTTCTGATGCTGATGTGGAGTACTGCCTCCCTAGTACTTCCTCTTCCTATAACAAGACACACCTCATCCGCAGCTGCTGGTGTGGCTCTCATCACACTATAAGTGACGTGCCTGGGCACACTGGAGTCCCTCTCTTTGGGATTATAGTGTGATTAAACTTGTGAAAGAGACAGCGTTACTGCTGATGCAATGATATATGGAAGCATGTAACTGAAGGCTGAGCTTTCATGACATAAATAACACTTTGAGTGTTAGCTAAGACCTTCAGTGACAGTTATTGTGTCTGTTCCACCAGGCTTAGTGGGATGGGACTTTTTTCAGTGTAAAGAAGTGATTTAGTACATCATTGAACACATATTTGAACCTTGATCATTGTTTAAAATGATTACATATAAATATCACTGCATAAGAACATTACAGAATAGTATAAGTGCCAAGTGAGTGGGGATTTGTAGTCTTCTGAGAAAGGAGTCAAATGTTGAGAATCTTAACATGTAACAATTTGAATTAACTATACTTATACTTATACTTATACAGTTTTAATCCAATCAACACTTCAACTCTATTCTGAACATATAATGTCATTATACATTTTGACTAAACTTCTATTTTTTATTGCTTTAGCTGTTTTTCCATCGCTTTCTTTATGTTGATGTCTTTTTTCCACTTTGTTTTTTTTCTTCTCAGTCCAGCTTAATTTGCAAAGCTCATATTTATGTTGTAGGACAGAGGTTTAGATACACATTTGCAAGTAAAAGCATTAATATTTAAATTATCAAGTCCTAATGTTATGAGAATTAAGCGAAATGGATAAAAGAATAACACGAATTTACAAGTTTTACATTTTAAATTTACCAGAATAATCAAATGAGAGAAGGTGTAATTATAGACTGTCGTTCTTTTAAATATAAACATATTTATATATTCAAGCTTTAATGTCTTCATTTTGAAACTTGGACAGAGAGTGTGGAGTGACCTCATGCTGGAATCAAACCGAGGCTGCCAGCTTAAGGACTGTAGCCTCTGAAAACAAGGCACATGACTTTACCACTAAGACAGGCAGTGGTTATTTTGCGTGTAAAATAACTTGTAGGTGGCCATCAGAGAGGCAGCCAGCTGCCTGAACAAAAATGAGGATGCTTGATAATCCTGTGAAGTTGGACTGAACAGCTGAGGACAAACAGCAGTTGCAGAAGTTTTCAAAGGCTGCCAATCAGGCTCCCCTTCCTCATAAAGGATTCCTTTTTTTGCAGTCTCTTTAGAGTCCTGATACATATGACAATGTACCCCTGATGAGCTGAAAGATAAAGTAATCACTTATGTATGAAACCCAAACTAAGTATAACTTCATAAGGGGATCCTAATTCTAATGCATGCAGCTGGCTGCTCTTCTGACGTTACCCTCCAAAATAAAGTTTCAAACAGACAGTTCATGTTTGTAGTGATTGGAAATGTTTATCAGAACAGCATTACATGGTTTGTGTTTGGTATCCAGACTTGAGCGTGGTGGGATCAAAACAATGCGTGCAGTAGCACTGAGGGACAGTGGTAGCATTGACAGAGACCTTTAATGTTGCAGCCCAGATAGACTACCAAATTAGCATAAATGTAGTCAAGTGATGGAGGGTCTGATGTCTATCATGAGAGTGTATAAACAGTGCAGCTCAAGTTGTCTGCCTGATCTAGCTCATTCACTAACCACAGTCTAAAATTATGACTTTATTCACATCATATCATGGCTTTATTCCCAAAATCTATTTTTCCCTCAATGTGACACTTATTGTCCAACTGAATTTTGATTTTTAGAGTGAAAATAAATAAATAAAATAAAATAAATAAACATGATTCCTAGCTTGTCCAAACCCTTCTCACTTAAAATGATGTCGTTCTGTCACACTGTCAAATTTAAACTTAATTCAGATATTTGTGACTTTATTTGATTTACACAACTTCATTTATTTTCTCTGTCAACCAATAGTACGGAAATAGATTTAGCAGCAGATTTCCTCTGCTATTTTTATCCTGTATGCAGATTTTGACTAAAGTAAACAGCAGTGAGAACATTTCACTGAGTGAATCAGAGCGGCCCGTCTCTGAAAAGGGCAATGACTTGTAGGCTCCTCTCATAACCTTCACTCGTCTTATACTCTGAGGGCTAAAATGCTGCAGCGCAAGAAGACATGACATTTTCCCAGCTGCTTGATGTGGCATCTGTTCTTGCCGTGTGACATTTTAGCCTTTGCGGGTGCAGCAGTATGTGGTCTCCTCCGATGTACAGTAGCATCCTGCTTTACCGGGCTCCTGCAGCTCGCTGTCCAGTTTGTCTTGGCTCGGTTTCCCAGGTGACAGAATGGCGGGGACACAGTGACAGCGTGCTCATCCAGTCATGTCTGGCCTCTGATAAGGACAGCTTGTGTGGGCATGCATGGTTCGTTTGGCTGTGTGTTTGTTTGTTTGCATGCTTACTTGTTTGTGTCGAGGGGATATTTTGAGGGGAAATCCAGAAATAGAAAGAAGACTTTGGCAGGGCAGTGTGTACTTAGGTGATTCTGCCCTCGTAAGAGCGTCCTTGTATTTGATTTGTCACAGAGCAGGATAGCATGCCGCATACAAAATCTTAAACTCTTTGTGTTTTAATTTTATCAGAGGAAGTTGGTGACTCTCTGTGCCAAATGGATCACCTCCAACTGGTCAGACAAGTGGTTGACATTGGCTCTAAAATATGGAAACAACAGGGTCATATTTGATGGCTGTAAACAGAGATACATTACAGCAGCAAACACAAACACAACAAACTGACATTTAGATGTTTGCTGTCTTCTTCTTTCCTCCTTAATGGTTTAGAGGTTTTACAAAACCTTCCCTAGACATAGAAACAAGATTTTCTTCTTTGTGCATTGAGATGTATCAGCTTGACCGATCAATATCTCAAAGTAAAAATGTGTCATCATATCGTTTATTCAGCAGACTTTGCCCCGATGTGGTTATTGTTAATACTCTCAGCACTGTCTTTAGCACAAGTTGCACAGCAATGCTTAGCGTATTCTACACTTAAAATGTTTGACTTGAAGTCTAATGTTGAATTTTCTTGTACATTTGCATGGTAATATTTTGCAAAATGACCGAATCATTCATAAAATTTTAAACATGTCATCAGGTCAGGGTCAAAACAACCCTGACCTGATGACCTGGTGAGACGTTAACTCCATGTGTGCAAGGATACCTAGCCCAGGTTCACACTTGAGAATGGAAGGTCCACATGAATGATCAGTTTGACAAGCTTTACTGGTTGCACATCTGGGTTACAGCTTCAGCATGCCACAAGTGTAACAAAGACTGGTCTGAGACTGTTAAGGTATGTATAGGCGCCCATGTTTCCAAACATTCTGCTTACGTGTTGTTGACCTAAAGGAGAGTCCATGTAGGGTAAGAACAAAGAACGATATGTTTTGAGAAGCCTTTGTTGAAAATATAGAAAGCCCATATAGGGGACGTATTTTGGGAGCCTGAGTGATGTTAAACATGTGTACAAGGTCCTTGTTGAGGATTGTTGTTGAAGGCTCATGGCTCCAGGAATCTAGCACCAAAGTATCCAAGGTATTTGAGTGACACAGCTCCACCATCCTAAAAGCTGACATGATTGGCTAAAAAAAAAATCTTCCTTACAATATGTAAAATGTGTTTTTTTCAGCCATCTTTTGGGGAATGGGGAAAGAGGCTAGCTTCAAATCAGAAATTGACTCAAAAGTGGCTTTTATTGAAATGATTGAAAAAATGTCAGTTGGATATATTTTGATTTCTGGCCAGTCAATGGAAAGAAGCTGTGCATTTTACACATAAACTTATTTAGGCTTGTGAAGTCATTTGGTGAGAAATTGACATCAGGAAAGGAATGAACAGCTTCGTATTAAACAGCCAAGTTCAATTTGCATGACAGATATTGAATCACACAGCCCTTCTTTGTTAAGTCACATTACAGTTGGAGAAGTGATACCAGAGTCAAAATTGTGTCTGGGATGGGCTCTAGTATTCATTTTTACCAGGCTTGTGTGAGCATGAGCAGCTGTCCTCAACCCACCAGGCTGCCCCGAGGGTCACAGCAGACTGAGAGAGCGGGTCTCTGTGGAGACATGAATTACGCAGAGCTGTGCGGTATGACTGAGGCAACAAGGCGACATGGTGATGGAATCAGAGATTGTGTGACATGACAGGGACCTTTGCATTAAATCAACTTCAGACTTGATGAGGTGTTTAAGATCTTTTGCACACTCAGATTTGATTTAGTACAAGATATTCAGTTTTTTTTAGAGCTTCAGGTTGTGTCTGAGAATACCTTTATCCTGTTGTAAGTTTTATTGCATCAGCCCCTTACTCTCTTTATCTACACTTTTGTTGCTACTTGAACACTTTCAAATCCTGTAGAGGTCACTGTTAACCAGTTTTATTATTCTGTTCTATTGTATATAGCATAAAAATGGTATCAATCAATGAACGCTCAAAGTCAGACATTAAAAACTTCATCTCAAAGGCTTCATGCAGAGGCTCTTGCTTTCCTCAGAGGCAGCCAGGTTGCGGAGAGGCTGACAGGATCAGATGTACCCACACTGTGTTATAATGTGTTGTATTGTGGCAGACAAAGCAAGGGGCTTAAGAATTTCACGATATTCCTAATTCACATGACAATGAGCTTGAACCCTGAACTCATTATTATTTTATGGATGGACACATTTCAAAGATGTCTTGATAAAACCTTGTTGTCTCTCAATGATTAACACCTTATAATGAAGACAGCCTCAGCCAGTGGCTGTGCTCTTCTTTTATGTGCAGCCTGTAAAATGTGCTCCACTACAATTCACAGTGAGGTGGACATATAAAACCTTTAGGACACAATTATCATCCCTCCTTTATGTGCAATTATCACATTTGCTGCTTCTTTATTCCCTTTCCTCAGGCTGCCCTCTAATATAAGCTTGAATCTCTTCTAATGTCACGTAGCATAATGTCACTGTTCCTCTCTCTACACTTGGAATTATCACACTTCCTTTATAAACATGATATAATGTGCCAGCCACCTACTTTGATTCATTTCCCTTTTTTCATTTAGCGACATATTCACAGGAAAAAACAGTCTTCTGCTGGAAACCTGTGGACTTCAAATGCAGAGATCAGGGCTAGATTAAAAGGGGACTTTACAACAGCTGATGTAAGACTACAAACCACAGGAGTGAGGAAATACTGCCATTTAAAATAAGTTTTAAGGTCTTTTTTTCATGTAGACAGATTTTGCTGCAGTCATGTCCACAGCAGCACGTATCTTTGCATCTCATATCTCCAGTTTCTTTAAACTGAAGCTTGTTGACGTCTTCCTACTTAAAATCATACGATATACTATTACTGATTTCACCAAAAGGATTTTTTTCACTTCCATCTGGTCAATCAGTGAAAGGCTCTTTTCTTAGAGGAGAAACACTAGAATTAACACCTGGGTGATTTTCCATTTGGATGGTAAATCTCAGAGGGCAGTTTGTTACATGGCTGGTAAATGTTTCTACTGAAATGTTCAACAATTCTGAGTCTTTCTCACATTTTGATGTGGCTTCAACATCTTTCTCCTGCTCCTCTGTTGTCTGAATGCACATTTCCCTCCCTCCCCTTCTTTTTACTTTTCTCTCCGTCCTTTTATTCTTAGTGCCCTTAGGGGGTTTTGGTGCTGGTGGTGTCATGATGGATCTTCTTAGAAACTTCCCCAAAGTGACTGCAGTGAACTTTGGCATTTCTTTATGGTTTGGCATGATGATTGGAAAAAAAATTAGATTATTCTTCAAACTGCATCCTGTTGGTGGTGGATCTTGGTAGTGAACAGATGAAGTTATCTCCATTAACGGGAGAGCAGATTAGAGTTTTCATTCTTTTTTTTATTAGTCAATGTAATCTTTTTCAGGGAAGACAGTGGTGATCTGAGATAGAGAGCAAAAGACTCTGCTTCTCTTTACACTTCCCTGTCTTTCCATGACTGCCGGTATTTTACAGAGGACTGTAAACTTGCTCTTGTAAGATTTCAGTGGAAACTTCTGCTTATGTTAAAACCATCTCAGCAAGTGCAACCATTAAAAATTTGGTGGTGTGAAGTCCATCCTGAATGAAAATTACTTTCAAACTATGGAAAGTTTGAAATCAAGCACAGTTGGTAAAACTGTATATTTCCACCTAAAGGTTTCTGTTCAGGGAGAGCATTCTTGGGGAGTAGACAGAACTTAAAACTTAATGAGTGCTAATGAACATGATAAATTTATTAAGTATTCGCAGCGTGTTTTGTACACTGTTCCGCATGGAAACTGGTTGTGTTAAATAGTACAGACACAAAACCTAGCCCTGGGAAGCTGTCACTTTAAATTGAGTGGTCATTGCCATGTGCATTTTTGAACATCTGTGGCCTTGATTGGCTGGTATCAATGAGTCTTTGACCTTTTTTTTCAAAACTATTCCAGCAAAGTCTATACTTTTGATGAAAACAGAGACCAGTTCAAACCTTTTCTTCTCAGCTGTTGCCTTCTCTGTGGACCATGACTTTGTTTTTCAGAGCTGAACAGCATACAGAAGTCCTCCTTTTTTCTTTCTAAAGCTGACGTCTTGGCACTGGGGCTAACATCTGATAAAGATATGTTTCTCTATCTCAAAAGACCTTGTTGTCTAATGACGTATTATTCTTTGTCTTGCAGGGGATTGATTTTGCCAGTTTCACAGGCTACATGTTCCTTGGAATCTGCCTCGTCCTTCTCACCTCATTTCCTTTTCTGCGGATGCTCTACTGGAACAAAAAGCTCTACAACAAAGAGTCTATTGAAATAGTTGGTGAGTGAAGATTTTTTTGCAACTCATGGCTGCTCCCCCGAATACTTTTCTATATAGAAGTAATAAAGGGTGCTGTTGTACAGGGGAGTTATCAAGTTGTCATGGGTATGAAATGTAAATTGCAGGATCGCTGTGAATGCAGCACAATGAAAAAATCATTCATGATTGCTGCCGATTATTATGGAGTCTATAAATCCCCCCAGAACACCTTAGCACATTTACCCAACATCAGTGCTACTCGCCTCCTCAGGTGCTGTAGTGACCTCAAAGACACTTAATTAACTCTGCGGTATGACCTTTGATTCCTTCATCTGGTGTCTATGGTGCTCTCTGAATTGAATAACCCTACTCTTCCATCCCAGATGATTTTCAACGTATTTCATTCAAGATGAGCTCATAAGATGGCCCGTCTTCTCCGATAAAGCATTCCTGGTGTGCAGCAAAGTTAATGAGAGGGAGGATCTCTGCAGTTATAATGCAATATTTACCTTATAGCTATGTTCACAGTTAATGAAAGGAGCTTTAAGTAACATCAATGTAGTTTTTATTTTGGCAACCTCATGGACAAGGCAGTTTTCAGATAGAGAATCATAGCTATGTCTATGTGAATGTTCACGGTGTAAAATGTAGATTAGGGGCCTCCAAGCTTGTATGGTGAGAACCACCGTGTCTGACTTTGGCAGCCACAACATATCTTTCAAATAACTGCATTGAAATGATCAATTTGATATCTCATAGACTTGTTCGCTTTTGTAGATCAAATAGAGACATAAGTTCTGATGTAAGTATGTTCTATGGGAGTTTTTTCTAATCGGACGCTCACACCAAGCGTGAGTAAAATCATCTACTTGCTTAATTTGTGCAAATCTAGACGCGTGAATAAATAGTATTTACTCGCGTTGGTGGTAATTTCATTGTAATCCCTGCCAATTCAACCGGCAGGATCAAGTGATGTACAAAATTTTTTTTTATACCAGCCAACCCAGCCTCCTCACTCACTTGCCTCCAGGCGTGCTCCTTTTTATTCTGGTTTTGGTGATTGAAAGAAAATTTATCATTTAATTTGTGGCACCCACAGACTGACAGGATCAGTTTGTCCTCCATTTTAGATACCAGTGAACAACTGTCCATTTTCATATGGACCCGGCAACCTTCTTGCTGATTAGTTATCGCAACGCCAATATCCAAACAAGTTGAGACAGTTTCAACCCCCACCCAATTCGCGTCATTCGCACCGCCAGAGTAGTCGGAGTGTCTAATTGCATCTTTGTATTTACTTAACATGTAATTCATTCGCATGGATGATTTTGGTGTGTGAAGACAGTCAATCTTCTTGGATCGTCGTCATCATTCCAAATATGGTCAACAGACAATTTAAACATAAAACACTTGCCCTTTGTTTCTGTCTGTTTTTTCATGCCTCTGCTTTCCTTGCATAAACATCACAGTGACCGTATCCTTCATATTATCTTTATTTTACAACCTCTGTGCACATGTTGGATAGCATTTTTTCAGCACAGGTGATAGATGTAGCCTTGCTTCTATTCTGGTTCACTGGACAGTCTATCGACAAAGAAGCCAAGCTGACCTGGGTCCCTTGTGGCTAATACACATCCTATTGAAAAGTACCTCATGCAACCCTGCTTGAAAAGTACCTTTATTGGTTACAAAGCTTGTAAATATACTTTAGATTGGTTTAATTAAAGAGTTCATAGTGCGGTCATGTTTCACACCAATTCCTGTGGTGGAAAACTTTCACCTTTGGTCTCTTTGCTGGACTCCCTTGGGAGTTTGATGATTCATAGAGAGTTTCAGACACTGTAAAGCTCATCTCAGAAAACCCCCTCACTCAGCTGCTCAGCTGCTGCTTTTGACTGGTTTGTAGAGAAAAATAAAGGAAAAGAAGCTTCTCTCCTATGGCACAGACACACAGGCTAGTCATTCAGCTTCAGAGTCTTTTTGCTAGAGTCTGACCAATGCATCAACCGGACGGTCACAGTTGAAGGCAAACGCAAGTGAAAAGCACAACTCAGGCGGCAGAAAATTAATCCAGCAGTCCAAACTAGGAAAAAAAAACAAGAATTCAAACTCCAGGCATGTAAACAAGAAGACGTCAGGCTGAGCAGAATCCAAATATAACTGAGTCAAAAGCAAATCTAGCAGGATAACTCAAGTAAAACCAACTCCCTGTGAAGTTTGGGCAAAGAGACAAAGATAATCAGACATAGACCTGAAAAACTGATGTTTTCAGTGTACAGTAGAAATGATCCGAACATAGGAAAGAGATGAATGAACAAAGGAAAGTAAACTGGTTATACTGTCTAAGAGGAGGCAGGAGGGACTGAGTAAAATAGAGGCACAGAGGAGACACCAGAGTGAATAAACAGATAATTAATAGCCTTTGTGAATCTATCGTAACATTTACTGCAGAAAACAGTACTTAAAGAGAGTAGAGACCATGTGGCCCCATTGCTGGTGATAGTCTGGAATTGGTGTATGACGTAAAATAAAGATAAGATGAGATAAGAGGAACTTTATTGATCCCCAAAGAGAAATTCAATAAAGTGAAATTTAAAATTAGGGTGACAAGCCATTTCTTTATGGTAAGTTGCCTTCCGATTACAATAATGATGCTGCAAAATCTGTGCAGTGTCAGTTAGAGAAATTGTGTAATAGTTAATATTTCTCTGTAAAACTAACTCTATCGGCTGAGTTCAACTAAACCAGCTAGGTTTGACAGTAGACAATGGGCAACCAATGAAACTGAATATGTGTTTGCATTTCTCCCAGGAACACAGTCCCCTCTTATCATTGTTTACCCACAATCCTACAGTGCCTTCCCCCTCTGAGACAACCTCAGCAGGGGATCATTAAAACAGATCTCCAGTCGTCAACACCGCTTCCATTCAGGGAGTGAGGATGAGCGACTGTTTAGAGCTGTAAAGTCACACTGAGTCTCAGGCAGATTGAAGGAAGCTGCTTCAGATCAATGCTGCAGCCGTTCAATGCTGGCCTGATAGCCGATCAGTAAATCCCACCCTGAGGAGTTCCGCTTCTCCTGCCAATCTGGCGGACCTCGCAGTGCATACAGCTAAATCAGCTCCAAAGCCCCTACCACGACTGGTAATTGTGCAGATTCGCTTACAGGAATGTTTTTTCCCTGTGCTAGTTAGATCCTATTAAGGTCACCTAGCAACCTTCTGAAAAGCGGATGGCACCTACTGATTTCTACACAGGCATCAAGCTCCCTCAGGCTGCGTCTCCGCTTCAACATTGGCTATTCTTTAACTGGTCAATGTGCCTATCACATGGCTGCATTAGTCCCTCTATGGGGGCTCTCAGCATATTGACCAAAAGCATCTTTATATCCTCTCTGTGAGCCTCAGCTGTAGGAGCTGTTATCAATAAATCCCTTATGTTTCATACTGATGCTGAGTAATACCCCTCTGCTAACTGTGTGAATCTTTCTGTTTACCTTGTACTAAACTGGTGTGTGACTTTCTCCTTCTCTGTTTGTCCTGTTTCCAGAGCTCAAGCATGAGATCCTGGTCTGGAGGCAGACGGCTCAGCGCATCAACCCCGCCAGCAGAGAGGAGACAGCTGTGAAGTGTCTCCTGATGCAAAAAGTCCTCAACCTGGAAAATCTGCTCCGTAAGATGATGAAAACCTTCCAAAGGTAAAAAAAAACAAAAACCTGAAAACACACAACACATCCGTTGTTTTTTCAAACCAATTCTCATTGAAACACATTGTCATCATTCCAGCTCACACTTTTGGTACAGGTTGTAAGAATGTGACATATAATTGCACCTTTTTGCTATGACTTCAGTAACAATAAAATGTCTGTCCATCAATACTCAGCTCATTGAGCTTGTTGTTAGTTAAAGTATGAGGGTGTTAAGCACTTAAAGTGCAGTTGGAAACTTCATTTGGACATTTCTTAACCAGACAGGTGGGGATTACACCTTTTTTTCAAGTGTATGTAAAGTGTCATAAAGGATGTTATCATTCAAATCACTTTGAAAAAATCATCAAACAACCTGGCACAGTCTGCTGAACAACTGGGTGCTGCATCCTGAAGAGTATTGACTAATGTATTGTTTCCGTTTGTTTAAACTTGTTATTAAAAATTACAAGTTACTAATATTCCTGTTTATTTAAAGTGAAAGGATAAAATGAATGTTTTAATATTGCCTCATAGTTCTAATGATTAAATTAATCACAATTACTAACACAGTTTTCTTTAACTAAATTTGCCGAATCTATATAAATCTAAATTGACCAAAAGAAATTCCGAGATTGTTATTTCTGTTTATTGTTTCTAAGGATTACAGCCTGTTCAATCCTGTTCAAATCCCTCTATTGAAACTTCAAATGAACAAAAAGAGGAAGATTCAAAGGAAAAACTGAGTTATCCATGCATCCTCTGTGTTACCTCCAGCCTTTTTCAAGTTCAGGCAAAAATCCATTTCAAAAACCTCAAAGAACTTGACAGTCAGCATTGATTGGGGTTGTTTCTTTCCCCGTTTCCCCCCCAAAATACTTCAAAACCTTCATGAAGTGCTGAGGGTTACCATGAATTATGACCTTATACTCTCAGACTCCCAAGGGACTGTCTCTGGGACCATTTAAATACTCGTAAATGTTGTTCTGTTTAACAATGAAAAAATAGAATTAATTTGAGGTGTGTTTGTGTGTCTGACAGACAAATTTCTCAAGAGGATAAGAACTGGGAACAAAACATCAGAGAAATGAAAAGGAAGGTAAGCTTTCATCCTTCACCCCTGACAGATTCCTCACTGTGACTGTGCTGCAGTGATGTTATCACAATAATGAAGTTGGTCTAGTCTTTGAAAAACTCCACTTAAGAGAAATATGGTGGGTTGTATGATAAAATAATACATATTTTTCTCCTCCATAGCACAAAATTACTGACAAGGTGCTTTTGGTGAAGTGTGTGTCTGTCCTTGGCGTCGTGATCTTCATGTTCTTTGTCAACTCCTTCGTTCCAAGCATTCATCTTGATCTGGGTAAGTGCGGCAATATCTCATTATTCCACAGCTCTGTAGACCCCACCATATGGTTATAGGTTTTGTCATGTAATTATGAGACTCAGCTTCCTCTGGGCTTGCACTGAAATGAGTCCAAATAATGGGCTGACGAACAAAGACAGGTGCATTTAGACCCCATTACATCTCCTCTTCATGCTTTACAATTTTAAACCTTTGTGTCAATGTGTAGAATATGCACTTTGATACAATGATAGAGTATGAAATGTGTGTTTTTAAATGTCTTTTGGGAAATGTTTTTTTTCTGTAAACTTTGCAGACATAATTCCTCACTTCTGCACAAGCAAGTGTGAGTGTACCACTTAGAAGAAATGGCGTAATGTCACCAGATAGTCTCAAGAGCGATTATAAAAGCACACAACTGTCACACAGTCACTACAAACAAAACCCTGATCATCTACAAGAACAAACTGCCAAATTTATCTTGAAAAAGTATTTTAGAGACAGTTACAAGTCATTTTACTCATACTTCAAAATTTCACTCTGATCATTTTTTTTTTTTACTACTTCAAGTGTTCTGAGTGATCTATAAATTGTAATTATGATTTTTTTGCCAAAATAACACAACCTGTGTCATTTTCAATGACTTTCCTTCTGCAGAGCTCCAGTAGCTCATTAGCAATTCGCCTCTGAGTTATGGGTGGAGACAGGGCTGCTCTGCACACTCCTCTTCATGCTAGTTTGTAGTCTAACATTGTCGGTGTCCAGAAGTGGCAGGTAACATAGGCGGTATTCAGCTCTTTGACAGCACTGTCTTTGGGGGCATAATGAAACTTAATATCATAATTAGCTTTCTTATGAACATTGCAGTCTGCTAACGCACATGCTTGTTCCACGATCGTCCTCTCTACTTCTCAGTGTCTGGCCTGCACAGCGGGGCTGCGGGGGCGGAGCTTGGAGTTGTGATGTAGGAAATCTCATTGTATCTGACCCTACCGTTTGGGTTTGTGAGAGGTTCACAGCGATTTGAATGAAGAAATACTCAGAAATGCAATTTAGCACTTATTTTCCTCATTTTATGTCTTGTAGCATCAGAAAAATGCCATATGAACAGGTAGACAACAAGAAAAACATGATTTTCATTGGAGAGGGTCCTTAAGGTAACACATAGGCCATGTGTTATGTTAGCTAGATGATTAAAAGCTTTATCCAAATAACAAATAGACATGGATAAAGGCCTTTAATCAAGTCTGGTAGCCTTTTTTCTATTTAAAATAAATCATTAGACGTTTTTGCTATCATAGGAATGTTAAAGTTTACAAAATCATATGTTACAAAAGTGGGCCGTTTAAGGGAAATATATATTATTTCCTTTTCTCCCAGAACTCTCTAAATGAAGTTTTATTTTGGAGGCTCAGGAAGGAGACACCTGTTGCATTCAAAAGATTAAATAGATGACACCACACAAGCCTTACAGCAGATGTACCCTGATTGATATCTTAATTCACTGTGGACCTCACACAATAAGCATGTACTTATGGTCAGGAATAAAGTAGTCAGTAATTATTTTGCTTCAGTTCCAACAGGAACTTTCTGAACAGGTGTAATAAAATATCTAAAAAACGTTCTCCTGATAAATGCTCTCCTGGATAGCAATTATTTCACGCTCACCCACACTCTCTTGAATGTTGGTCCATTTTAAGTAAGAGGCACAAGCTTAAACACATGACATTAAGTCATGTGTTTAAGATACTGCAAAAAAGGCACCTGTTGTGTTGATGACAGTCAGCTGATGTTAACATGACTTTAAATCAGTTTGCTTTTGTTTCATTTCCTATAGTCAGTGTGTCTTGACTCCAGAATTGGATTTAGGGCTATTTCTTGTCTGTCTCTCTCTTCTCACGGTGATGTCAGTTATGTGAGCTCTGTGGAGGACCTTAACAGCATCTCATTAATGCTAACACTATCCCTAAATGAAGATGGCCATCTTCATACACATCCTGTCATCTCTTTCTGTGCTGCCGAGGCCACTCGGCTACCAAACATGCTCGCCTAATTACAGTCGCTGCTCAGGTTACCTCTGTGTGACATTTATTAAATGGGAATGACCCTGCAGCAGCATGTTTTCTGTCCCTGTGGAGGGACAGGCGCCTGTCCAAACACGGCTCTCATTAATGCATGCAGGTCACAGGCAGGGCTGACTACTGTAGCCAGCAGGGTCTATTCATTCACTCTTGTTTTATGAATTAAGCCTCATTAAAATTGCATTAACTCTGCACAGTAAGATTTAATTTGAGCCTGATTATTGCCTGGTCATTTGATCCCTCTAATGTGTCTGCGCTTCTGTGAGTAAAGCTGAGGTTTGGGTGAAAATGATCCCTGTATAGCAATCAGCAGGGTAGTCATTCAACAAAAGATGTTTAATGAAGGATTGTAAAGTGGGAAAGACATCTACTCACATTAACAGATTTAGATGTCACAGGAATATTGCTATAATTTCAATAAATTCATTTAAGAAATGTCTATTTCACTCTTCTTACATTCCAACTTTTATATTCTTGGCAGGGCAAAAGACCACTCCAAAGAGCATGTGTCTTATCTGACCAGAAGCTTACAAGACAGCAAGATACGTTAGTCAGAGCCCAAATATTTATCTTGGCTTTTGTTTTGATGTACAGAGCAGTTATATGATACTGCGATGACATGTATTTCTTCCCTCAGCAGTGTTGCCTTACATTTGACAAATGAGCTTGCAAAGAGTTCACTTTAATTGGAGAGCTTTTCAGATTTGTTATTCGTTGCTCGTGCAGGATCCAGGCTTAGGAAATATGGATGCATAAAGGAAAACACCATTACCTTTTTTTTTTTTGCTCTCTGTTGCGTGAAAGATTTATAGATGTTGCAATGGTTATTGGTTGCTTAAATTATCATTACATTTTTGCAACACATGGCACTATGTAATTTTCAAGGGAGGTTTGAAATGAATCCAGTAGATGTTTAACAGAGTTTACAATCCATGCAAAAGCTGTTTAGGAGCTCAGTGAGACAGCTGGAAGCCTTTGTGTAGCATTACATTAAAACCAGAGCTGAAGGTCGAAACCATGACCTCAGTCCAGGGCATGGCATGTGTGTTGTTTAGGAGGACTAGTATTAAAAGAAGTACAAATGGAAAGAACAAACTAACAGCAAAGGTGAAACACAAACAATGGTGCATCTAGTTTACAGCAGGGTCCATAACATGGCACAAAAGCGAGAGACTCATCCTCGATCATGGCGTCCTTTCTCCTTTATCCGGGAAAAGAAATACTCTAAAATGGACTTTGTGCTAAGAGCTTCCGCTAACATCTATTAATGAGATGTTGTTATTTCACCAGATGTTTTGCACTAATCAGCCATTGCAATATGATTACTGACAGGTGAAGTGAGGATCACAAATTATCTCCTGACAATGGCACCTGTTAGTGGGTAGCAGATGCTAGGCTGTAGGTTAATGTTTTATCCTTGAAGTTGATGTGTTGAAAGCAGGAAAAAAGGGGGTGGCTGTAAGGATGTGAGCAACTTTGACAAGGATGTCATTTCATTGGCTACACGAGCGGGTCAGAGCATCTCCAAAACTGCAGTTCTTGTGAGGTGTAGGTCTGCAGTGGACACCAGAATGTAAACTGCTGTAATAGTTGAAAATGATTCAGATAGGAAGGTGTCAGATCACACAGTTTGTTGTGTTTGAGGTGCCCATGCTGACCCCTGTCCACCACTTGAAATGGGCATGTTAGCATCAGAACTGGACCACGGAGCGATGAAAGAAGGTGGACAAAGGCAACACATCAGTGTTGACTTGGTCTCAAGTAGGGGTGTCCCGATACAACTGTTTTTTTAACTTCCGATACGATACCGATATTGCACCCTTCAGTATTAGCCGATACCGATATTGACACAAATTTGTGCATGATAAGATTTGCGCTCAATATCTTTTTCGGACTTTAACGAAAAATACAGCCACACAGCCAACATCACTCCTACTCCTTGCTACTTTGTTAGTGCCTTAGTACACACTGTTGTTGTGATTACGTAGGCTCTGATTATTGGATCAGGGCGTCGCTAGATAGAGGTGCTGGAGTGGAGACTGCTTTTATCGCAGTGCCGATATTGAAGATTTTAGATGCAGGCCGATATAATCCAATATTTGGTTTTTGGCTAATATCAGATGTCAATGTCACATCGGGACAGCCCTAGCTGCAAGGTTCCCAGACCATGGAGCCTCCTCCTCCTTGCAACTTAGAGGACTTAAAAGATCTGCTGCAGAGGTCCTGGTGCCGAATATCGCAGCACACCTTCTGAGGTCTAGTGGAGTCTATGTCTTGTCAGGTCAAGGTTGTTTTGGCTCTGACTTGATGGGGGGTTACAGTATAAGGCAGGTGGTTGTAATGTTATGGCTCATCAAAGTGTATTTTCAAGGTCACTCTGCCCTTGCCCTCAGTTTAACACAAAAATATCCAGTGTTATTTGGCCGCATTTGTCAATTATGCTGTTTTTTATCCTGATAAAAAGACATATCAAAGTTTCCATCTCAGATTTGACAATTTCAGAACAAACACATGAACATTACCTCAAAACAAAAACTCCCCTACAGTCTGAATCTTTTAACAATCTTCCGGTCTCTAATCAGCTGCCCCTAACCTTTTTTGTCCTTCTGTTGCGCCTCTCTCTGAATAATTTCCATCAGGCAGCCCAGGTAATTACGGAGCTGTGCTGCTCACCTGCTTAATCAAATTTTCTCCATGTGGATGCACATTCTCCCTCAGTCAAAAACTCCCTCATTGTAAATATGACCGTGTCTGTGCCAACTTTTGTCCTCCAGACATTAATGTGTTGTACTTGTGGTAATTAATCCTCCATTAAGACAGACCATAGGTTCATTTGCTGTTTCCAACAAGCACCTCACTCCATGGTGTGATGATTGCAGCGGGAGCATCTGTACCATTTAATAAAGGTTGCTTTCCTTTTTGAGGGTTGTGATTAAAGACAAATGTAAGTAAACTGAGCAGATGGAACATTATTTTATACTTTGAGTAAAGAGTCCTCTAAGTAGCCCCTTGTGTCCTGTGTGATGTATCTCTTTTTGTCACAGTCCTGTGAGCTCAACTTCTGCTGGATAAGACCACATAACTTTTTTTTTGTTTCTGTGAATATGTGTTTTATATCTATAAAGGGAAATGTTTTCTTTTGTCTTCATTCTCAGGTTGGATTGCCATCCTGGGTGCACTGTGGCTTCTGGTCCTGGCTGACATCCAGGATTTTGAGATCATCTTGCACCGGGTGGAGTGGCCAACGTTGCTTTTCTTTGCTGGTCTCTTCGTTTTGATGGAGGTATTTCAGCACGTATCTTCCAAATTGATTCTCTAGAGATTTTGGACTCTACCAAAAAAGTTCATCGAACAACTGATGCCAAACAACAACCCCTGTGTAGAGTGTCCACTTGTCACAGGAGGCAATTATTGCAAATAAAACGTGAGCCAGGGTGGGGTAATTCAATTTTAGCTGGACACCCCTCAGATAAATATGACAACAAAACTGTGAATGAAAACAGGAGCTCTGCTGTGATGTTTTGACTGTAAACTCTAAAGTGAGAGAAATTGAGTCTCTAGTTTATCCCTCTGAAGAAAGTCTTTACTTGTGAGTCCCCCAGTGAAAGGAAAGAATGAAAAAGCAATGTCAGCACCATGTCTGGTTTGTTTTTCCCTTCCTTATCTCATTGGTAGAAACACCAGAAAGAGGACCCAAAGGCAGACATTGTAACACAAACATTGTAATGGGAAGGCAATAATAATAATAAAAAAAGAATGTTTAAGCATGTGCCTCATGTGTGAGGTTACAGTCCTGGTTGTAGTGGTCGCCAAGATGAAGACTACCATGACCCTTTACTGCTTGTCTTCCCCCACTCTTTACTCCCTAGATTTCCTGTCTGTCTTCAGCTGCCCACTTATTAAAGGCTGAATACCTCATAAATATTTTCCAAAAAATAAAACGTCCATTAATACAGGGATAATATTATGCCAAGAGGAAGGCTTTAAACAGGATGTGAAGACTTGAGAGATGTAACATATCTCACACAGGTAAGCAATTAAACAAACGAAGACAAATTGTTCAGTAGCAGGAGTTAAAGCAGCAGACTTACATAAAAGGGAAAGTTAAGTGCCAATGTACAACAGGAAACAATAACAGTAAACAGAGAGGAATGAAACACCAAACCACAGGGAGTCTTTATCACGCTCCCACTCTGTGATATTCTGTCCTACATCCCCAAACTACAGTTACCTGCCTGCCAAATTGGGCTTATGAGAAGTGATAAACTAAATTTACACGCATTCAAACACAATGTTCATGCCTCAAAAGTAAATTGATTGGACATTTCGCCTCACAAAACAAGGTAGTTACAAAGCACTGCTTTTGCATTGCAGTTAGAGCCATTAAAGGCAAAAAGCAGCAAGTCAGTAACTATTACGATTTTCTCGGCTTTCTCTGTTGTCATTGTAAAATTGATTTCACTTTTTAACTTATTTAGCTTTTTTAGGATCAATATTATGAAACAATTTGTTTTTTTTTATATCTTTATTATCTACTCTTTATTGTATTTTTAGTTCATTATTTTAAACCAGCAGAATCCTATGTACATCCTGTTAAACTCACCAAGTTTGACCATGTTAGACAAACACTGAGGTAACTGAAGTTATTTAGTTTTAAATTGTTGCGTATTTGTAATGTAGAGCAGACTGGAGAGTCTGACAGAGTCTCAACAAAAAGATTATTAACGTCTCCAAACGGTGTGTTGCTGCCCCTGAGGCACATTTTATGGATTTCTATTGGATTATTATCACTGATTAAATAGCAGAAGCACTTTCTAAACTTATACTTCACATGTCAGAATCCACTGATAAGGACCTGTCTCCTCTGTGCAGCACCTTTGTGGAGTCTCTCCTTGTTATTGTTCTCCGGGCATTGGGTCCTCACGTTGCACCGGCACAACCAATGGCACTCCATTCGCCAGTGCAACATTGTGCAAAACTGTACTGGCCCAAATGATGTCCCACACCCTTTCAGAAAGGGTACAACAACTTCCCCGTGTGCGCATGTGCGCAATGTTAAAACGGCGCTCCTGCTCTGTGGCAGTATTTCTGGGCAGAGTTATCAAATAGGCCTATTCACTAAGGACACAACAAATTTATTTTATTTTATTTATGTCTTAATCTTTAATGAAATCTGGCTGGTTGTTCTTAATGACAGGTTTCAGGTTTCTATATCAATTATTTTGAGACAGATATTTGCTGCACCGCAGATCCACACTGACTCAAACTTGCGTACACAATGTCAGACCTGACATGAGATTTGGTCGTAGTGTACGCTCACGTGCAGATTGATAAATGCCGATCCTCATATCAAAATTTTCGTACGCAAGGTGTATGCGATTTTCTGCCGCACGCAAGCTTGATAAATGAGGGCCACTAAGTCCAGCCACTGACATACTATACTTTGGACATAGATTTTGTTATTACTGCAGTTTCTACCTTTTTTTTAACACCTGGCAAAGTTCTCAAACTCAAAGTATCTTGGTTAGCCTTTGAAGTAAATCTAACATGATAGTGTTGCAATCAGAGTAGTCCCATAAGGAACAGCACACTTTATGAATATAAACTTGGTTTTGTTTTCAGGGTCAATAATGATAACAAGGATAAATTTGTCTCTGTCTGCTTAGAGACCACATCATCAGAACCAAATTGCTTTTCATTCTTTGTTTAGGTCCTACGTAACACTAGTAACTCGCTCTCAGAAAGTTTTCCACATGAATCTTCTCCTCTTCTTTTTTCAGGCCTTAGCCCAGCTACAGCTCATCGACTATATCGGAGAACAGACAGCCCTGCTCATAAAAGTATGTTTTCTGTTTTGATTCTTAACCTGAACAATCGTCTCTTGAGCTCTGTGCAATCAGCTTAATTGATAATTGTGCACAGGTGATGTGATATTGCATTGCATGCATATTGATCCTTTTGTTCTGCTACACTCTGAATCCAATTACTTTGTTTACATCTGATACCTGTCAGCAGTTGAAGGGAGGGGGGGTGGGTAATTTTCAGCTATATTGTTGCCTGTGGGCTCTAAGCAGGCGAGGTGTGTCTCTGTAGAGAATTGCAACAGTAATAGGTATGTCAGCTCGTGTTTAGACTTTTGGCCTCTAAAAGTCTAATAATCATGCCTGACAGGTCGTGTGTGTTCATGGGTTCTGACCTGCTCAGCCTCACACTCAATGGACAACATGTGGGGCACAATTACATGTCCCTCCTTCCCTGCAAAAAGTAAAAGACAGGTGAAAAGAGGAGATATTGCCGTCTTTAACCAGGTCACACGTACAGAGGAGAGGGCTATCAAGAGGCTTCAGAGAACATCATGCCTGTCACATGTGGAGAATTGGCCTCGCTTTGTGTGTACAGCAGAGACACGAGATAACACCACCACCTGTGGTCATGTCACACATTCAAGCCTCATTCACTGGCCTCAGCTCCTTGATGAGAGGTTCAGTGTCAAAGAAGTAACATAATTGGCGTGTTTGATGTAAATCACTGATGGGCTGAGGTAGGGCGGGATGGGCTAGTGCCTCTGAGTGGCAAAGAAAGCTGGACTTATCTGTCAATCTTATTATCTCTCCTCTCAGGCGGTTCCAGAAGACCAGCGCTTGGCAATAGCCATTATCTTGGTGATGTGGGTCTCAGCTCTGGCCTCGTCTCTCATCGACAACATTCCCTTTACTGCCACCATGGTAAGAGGTTTCAGCCTGATGCTTTAATTTCACACTCTGGTATATTCTTGTATAATTACACATACACCCTCAGTAAGTCACAAACATCAGTGAAGTCATCAAATACCTAATCACTGACATAGCATTGGTCTTAAACATACTCTATATATAAAGAGAGCGAGTGGTTCTTTAAAGCAGTCTATCTGTGTTTTAGAACCGTCTTTAAATTTGATCATCATTTATTGATTGAGCTTTAACAAACAAAGTGAAAATTACATTAAGACTTTAAAAGTCTTTGAAGCCAACTGGTGGTTTCTCTTGCTGTTAAAGTGCTGCTCCCAGGTACTGAATTTCGAGACCAGGAGAGTCATATTCTGTGATTTCAAATACACTTGCTGCTGTTTAATCTTGCTCCAAACAAAACCATAAAACTCAAAGTTGGAGCGAGATTACATTTCTTTACTGCTGTTCAAGGGAGTTGATGCATTTAGAGAGGCCACTGTTATTGAGATGACTCCATAAGTCAAACCCAAGGACAGTGAAGTTTGATTAGTTTGTTTGTGTTAGGGACTGTTTCCATTAACCCCGTTTCTTTTTGTTGGCAGCACACATGAATTCACTTTCAGAGTATTTCCTGAAAGCACCTGCTATTACAAGGTCGAAAAAAACTTTGTTCACTTTGTTTATGCCAGGCCTCAAACATAACTAAGAATACATTGCACTTATTTTTTAGTTGAAGTTAGTTTGTTAGTGCTCTGGTACTGAAAACTGTTGCTAAATCTAACTCTCTGTAAAGTAACTTCTGTCTTTAAATAGCAAAGGCTACAGAGAGACTCTCTCAGACACTCATGAATTATTCAGCTTCTTTCTGTTAGAAATATCAGCCACCTCACCACTTCTGCTGTCAGCTGTCTGTTTTGCTGAGAATTAATAGATTGTATTAAGAGATCAGCGTTTCAGAGCAGCTGCAGTGTGCGCAATTAAAATGACTGAGAGAAAAGAAAAAGATGTTATCTCACTGACTGAATGCAATGGTGCTTTCTGGAGTCACACCACCAGATACATATTTTTTTAAACTAGAGGCTTTAAAAATGCTATGTTCTCTGGTATTTTCCCTATTTTTGGGCAAATGTATGTGTTGTTCTTCCTGTAATGGACTTCCACCTGCGACAATTTTCAGTTCAGTGCTCAGCTGATAAGAAAGCAAATCCTGATTGTCACAATAGTCTGCAGCAGGGACCTGGGAAATGAGTTTTTGAATGAATACATTTAGAAGCTTTTTAAATGCAATTTTTAAAGGAATAGTTTGCCTTTTTTTTGTAAATATACTAAGTAACTTTCCTGCTAGCAACAGTTAGCTTATATTTGCAGGAGGAGAGACAGCTAGTCATACTTTATACCAAAGCTAAAAATGTCTGCCAGCATCTTTGAAGCTCATGAATTCACATGTTTAATGGTGTCTTTTGAATCTTTTCAAATATTGAGAGTGGATCAGTAAGTTTCTTCATAGACAAATACTATTTCTTTTTAGATTTTAAGAAGACTGTAGACAACAAAATATGTTGAACTGTCAAGGGGAGAGGGGTGATAAAATGAGGCAAGGCCAGCAGAGGATATCAGTGTCATGGTTTATAGAGTGACAGTGTAAACAGGCTGGTTGTGGATGGTTGTTCTGTATTTTTAATGCTTTAAAAAACAGGGCGCTGTCCTCATGGATGTGTCTTCTTTGTGGTTTTCATTACAAGGTCAGAATAAATCTAATTATTTAGTTCTTGAGGGTCTAAAGAAATTCGACCGTGAGAAACACTGTATTACAAAGAAAGACATTTGGTTCTGCACCTCTTGCGGACAAAGTGGTACCTCTTTTTTCACACATGCATCAATGGTGCAAGTAGATTAAAAAAGTAAACATTAGAGTTTGCTTTATTTCCAATAGTCTGATTTCCTTCTGTAGCACAATATAAAATTCAATCTGTTTCAATAAAATTTAAGTATTTTGATTGATCTTATCTCTGCTTTTGCCTCCTAAAAATTTAGTTTTTTTCTATTAAAATTCATTGAATTACCTTGTGTAAAAAGTTACTGTTACTTTCTGTCACCCTCTCTTCAATCAGTTGTTTGTAGGAGCTTTGACTATAGCTCGCTTTGCAGAAACTTACATACTAAGACGTACTCCCATATAATGATGTTGTACATTTAGCCCTCATATTGTATCTATATCCCAAGTGTTATGTCACTGGCAGTTTTTTCTTCACATGTGTAATAGTTGTAGTCTGTAATGAGAGAGGGTTTGCTTTCTCTTCTGGTTGATGAAATATTGGGTGTTAAAAGGCGAGGAACAGTACATGCATGCTCAGTTAGTACCGCTCTGTGAAAATGATATTCACATCAATAATTCAGTCATGCAATGTCGAGCTACACCACCGGGAGTCAATGGACATACACTCCGCCTCGCTGCACATGAGGGCTTTAATGTTTCATTTGTAGGCTCATATCCAGCCCAGTTTTAGTCAATTCTTCAGATCAGGCTCCAGTTGCTTTGAGAACATTTGAAACACTGTCTGCCATGTGGGTTAGTTTCTATCTGGATTATCAGCTCCTTTATGTTGCATGTAAATCTCGTAGCATGTGTTTCATTTCTAGGTTACTTGCATTGGAAAGTTTCAGAGTATTCATGATAGTTTGTTTTGGATAGGATTCACAGTAAGACAACAGTATTTACCACTAAGTTACACAAACTAAACACACAGACATTTCTGATTATTTTTTAAAAGACTGAAACTTTTATGTAGAGATTTAAATTTTAAGAGAAAAGGCTGCATGTAAAAGTCATTTTTAAGTGTAACTCTAAATTGTGTCTCTACAAACAGATTCCAGTTCTCATCAACCTGAGCCAGGATGCAGACGTAAATCTGCCGGTCAAACCTCTCATCTTTGCCTTGGCCATGGGCGCCTGTCTTGGTGGTAAGCCTTTTTTTATCCTCTTTATGTCATCAAGAAAAAACTAAAGTGTAGAAATAGAGGATAAGATTGTTTGCTTCAGGGAAGTAACACCTTTCAGTGTTCCTTACAGTCACAGGGACATTACGGACAATCTTTGTGTGAAAGGTGTGGATCTCTATTGATGGCAGAAGGAGACACTGTACGCCCCAGGTGACAGTCACACTTTGCACAGCTGTGTCGCTCACTGGGGTCAGGCTGTGCTTTTTGTTAGGGCAGTCAGTGATGCCTCAGGCTCTCTCCTCCACCACACCCGCCAGCCAGCCCCTCAGCCTTTCAGGAGAGTGAGGCTGTGTTTGGGTGGAGGGAACACAAAGAGAGGGAGAGTAAGAGAGCTGTCATAGTGTTTCAGTTTAATCAACTGCGCTGTGACAGGCCCACATCGATTGGCCCGACTCCATCACCCACACTGACACCTCTTTGAGATGTGAGCAGTATTGAACGCAGGGCGGATACGAACACTGACTGTCAAATGTTGCCTACTCTCATTAAAGAAGTCAAACTTATACTAAATGAAGGCTGAAAACTCAATGAGACTACGGAGAGGAGGAGATGACTTCAAAGTCATTATTTCTTTTAAAATTGTGCCCATGCTTTCAAATATTTGTGATTGCAGCATAGAACATGTCAAAACTGTTTTCCTTTATGCTGTTTGTGTCTCTCTAGGAAACGGCACATTGATAGGAGCGTCAGCCAACGTTGTATGTGCAGGAATAGCTGAACAACATGGCTACGGCTTCTCCTTCATAGAGTTCTTCAGGTAAGCTCTGAAAAAGCATTCAAAATGAAACATCAAAAAAGAAGTCCTGAACAGCAGGGCTGAAATCAGGATTTGCTCTTCAGGGTTAGCATGGCAGCGCATGTACGAGCACTGACTACAAAGTGTGTTTGACAAACTGTGAAGAAAGTGTGACGGAGAAGATAACTCTGTGCCCAAAGTTATTATCAAAATGAAGCAAAATACTGTTTGAAAAAAAGATGACACTAAATTAAGGCTAAGCAAGAACAGTTGACATTAATTTTTACTTAAAAGATGTTTGATTAACTTTAATTATCTTAAAAACCAAGTAATTTTTTTTTCTTTTGGAGGCATGACTTTCACCACAGTGCAGCACTTTTCATTTGTGTCCCAACTTAGTAAAAGCCAAACTAGCTAGTGTTAGCTAGCTGCGGTGTGACTTGAAGGTCCTCCAATGCCAGGATCATTTTAAGGAGTTAAAACAGCAGTCATTGTCCCCCTCGGCTTGGATTGTTCACACATCCTGTATGTCAAGACAGCAATTCTGATGTGGAGAAAAACAAGTGAGGCCAGTTTGCCCTGAAGAGATGATCTCTGCTGACTGCTAATCAATTTCTGGAGCAGTAAGAACCCAATCAACATGACAACTGCAATAAATAGCTGCTTTACTCATCATGTCAGTTAGTGGTGAAATGCGGGACAGCAACTTGGAAATTATAAGTACGACTGATAGGTGGCATAAAAGTAGCAATGGGCTAATCTTATTCACTGTGTTCATACAACTTAAGATCTGCAGAAAAGCTAGATGTAACTTAATGTTTATTTTTTAAGTTACACCTTTTAGTATTTTTGCCATTATTGGACAGGAGGGCTGAAGAGACACAGGAAATGTGGGGAGTAGAGTGGGCAAGACATGCAGCAAAGGAGGGAGGCTGGGAGTCATACCAGCAACTGTTGCAACAAGGATTTTAGCCTCCGTATGAGGAACTTTTATACTGCTAGGCTTCTGGCACCCTGCTTGCTTTTTGACAAATACGTTCATCAGACTTGACTTTACCCAGACTGTTAAAGGGCTGCCTTCATTATAATATCAATCATATGCTTCGCTCCAGGATGCCGACAATGTGTACTGAAGTGCTTGAGAAAATTTAGAGAAATGTTCAAGTCTCTGATATAAATGACAAACGTTTGAGTGTACCCTTAGTTTGCGTAATCGAAATGTATTACTTTCTGCAGAAGCTGCTTCACTTTGACATAATGTGGCTTTAACGCTCAGTACTGAAAAATTGAGTAGTTTCTCTAATGCCGTCCTTTTATCCAACTTGTTTTTGCTCTTGCCATCAGTTTTTCTCGAATTGGTAGCACTTTGCACAGTCACGTCATCTTAATTATTTGATGGGAGGTGAACGTCTATCTGAACCGACTGTTGTTTTTTTAATTTCATTTTGGTTTTCTGAAAATATTAAAGATGCCAGATATTAATAAAAGTGATTGTAGTCCTCGCATGAAGTGTGCATGAAGTTCAATGAGCCTCGTTCACCAACTGTTCTTCAGAAGAAATTGATTGTCAAAACTCGTTTGTGCCATTTTTTAAAGAGGATTCTGATAGTCATCAAAGTTTTTCTTATCTGGTCTCTGTTATTAGCAAAGAACGAAATCCTTATAGATCAATCTAGACAACACTGTGTGAGTGTGTGTGTGTGTGTAGTGCCATCCCAGACAATAGTCATGACAGTGGAGGGTAACTCTGTGACAGCAGGATAAGTAGCTGAAATAAAAATATAACTTTTACAATATGACATTTGGAGAAATAGAGAAAAGAATCAACCGTATCCACTGCATATTTGTTGAGTAACATCATTCCACCATTCTAGTTACATTACCAATCAGTAGCTGCATTTAGTTATTACAGATTTGGTGCATGTGTTTTTTCATTTTTTTTAAAGATATATATTTTGTGCTTTTTCGAGGCTTCATAGACAGATGGAGGATGTTGAAGATAGAGCAGGATACAGGGGGAGAGAGCAGGGATGACATGCAGTATGGAGGCCACGGGGTAGAATCAAACCCTGGCTTCCATGAGGCTATCTGCACCCCCATAGGTGTCTTTTTTCAAGAATATTAATTATGCAGGCTTTTTTTTTTTTTTTTCTATTGCTACTAAATCACTACATGGTAACATGCACCTTCAAAATGAGCTTTAACGATTTAAAGAACATTACTGACAAAATTATGTTTTTGGTTGCAAAGGGATGAACTACAACCATAGACTGTATATAGAACGGACGCCGTCTGCCTCCTAGCTGGGTGAAGCCTCCGTGAGGACAGCACCCTCTGGTGACGGGCTGCATTTTAGGTCATTAATTCCGCCTCCTTCAGCAATCCCTATGGAGCCGTGGACAAAATCTAGTAATTTATTACACAGAATATACATTTTTCTCCCCCCTGGTTGTGATGTTGACATGTAGTTACTGTAAGACTGGTTTCTGCTCTAGTCTTCTTTTTTTCTGTGCAGCTCCATTTTTAAAAGTTATTAGGGGGTTTACAGCCTATGGGCGTACAAAGTTTATGTAGCTCACCCAGGGGATACGCTGTTCGAGCTGAGTGTCATCACAGCGACTCTCCCGCCAAATGCGTACAATGCTTCTGCGCAAGTGGTGGTTCCAGGAAGTGGAGAAAATACTGGAAATACCGAGAGCAATTCAGCTTCAAATTCGCATAATGGCGGAAGGTGGAACCAAGTTGTCCATAGTATATACAGTCTATGACTACAAATACCATCAACAGGTCACTCAGGGAGAGGCACAATGACCGGGAATTATAATATTCTTGATCAGCTCCTAGTCTTCTGATGGGTCCGTAAATCCATGTAAAGCTTCCGCTCTCATACAGCAGGACTATTTATGAAGATAAGGCTGGACATTGGTGTCAGAAGTAAGTTATGAAGACAGAGAAAAGTAGAAAATTGATCTCCTTAAAAATAATTTGTATCCAAATGTGCAGATGTTTTTTGGGGGAGACCACACCGCAATCATGGCAGCATGGTAATCTCTGGTAGTCCATCAGATTGATGAATTGATCAGGAATGTTGGCCTGCAAGCATTTAGCAGTTGTTGTTTAAGGTGCTGTGTACAAGCTTACATTAAACAACAGTAAAGGCTACAATTTATAAAATGATACATATTGGAAAGAAAATGTATTCACAGCTAAAATAACTTAACTTTGCACACAGCTATTTAAACACTCGTGTTTTGCAGTGGCAAATTGTCAGGGGGAGTAGGGACGACTGCTGGACTGAATATAAAACCATACTTGGGCACTAACCACCTGTATAGAAATGACATTATTATGGTTAGTAATTGGAGAGGAGGAAAATCTTGGTTGCTGCCTGCAAGCTTGTAAAGCAAAGCAAGCCAACATCAATGTTTGTTTCATTTTCATCTTATCTGAATAAGAATCTCTAAAAATTGCAGGTTTTTTAATAATGACCCTAAAAAATATCTGCTCTCTACAATATCTCACAGTTCTTCTGAAAAATTTTAAAAGGATTTTCCACTTTTGTTGCTGAAAACTATTTTCTGCATCCTCATCTGTTTACTTAGGCCACACAGGTTATTTTTTCTTTGAGGATAACCTTACTGAGCTCAGAATATTTACAGCAGACATATAACTTCCTCTTGTTAACCATCTCAAGGAAACATCCCGGCAGACATAAGTTAATGTCATCTGGTCTGGGCAGTGATTTTCAGTTTGTGTCCTCGACAGTGATGTTAGGGCACTAGGTTTACTGCACAACTGCAAGAATCCAAACAGTCTCAAAATGGGCTCTGTAATCCAAAGAGAGAGGAGTCAGACTCTGAGTTTTAGTGAAGCATAAACAGTCAAACATGTGTGCAACTGACTGAATAGATACTCAGTGAAACACTCAGAGAAAGCTTGATTTGAGAACTCTCCAGTGAGTCCAAGTGATGGTGAAAAATGTCATTTCATTTCAAGGACGGTAAGTGGGCTGCCTCCACAGTCACCACCTGCTCACTAATAATTTTCAATCTGCTGATGAAACAGACAGACATCCTTTACTTGTTGGGAAAAAAAAGAAAGTGGTCAGTGGTGTTGAAAGACGGATGAATATGAGTTTGATTAGGCTTAATATGCAATCACACTGAAATAGCAGGTCATTAAATTAATGGAAGTGCTTAATGTAGCATTTGTCCTGATGTAATCAGAAAGAAAGAGAGAGACTGTTCCTGGTAATGTTTTGTTCTTTAACTGATTGTACATTTGATTTGTAAAATGAACGTCTGCAAGTGGGATGAAGTGAAGCCGAGTTTTCAGACTTTTCATGTCAGTGTCTCTAAACTGTCTGGTGCTCAGGGAATTTCTCATGTTATGTAGACCATCTTTGCAGAATGAAAAGAAGGGTATAAAGTAGTAAAAGTGATTATTATCCAAAACACAGAATTTAATCACTGCTGAGAATTTAAAGGAGTGCTTACACAGGGAGGAGCTGCCATTTTACTGCAACCTTGCTTTGTGCTCGTGGATTTTTGTAGAGCTGACCCTTAGAAGTTAGCATGTCACATTATAATCGACTTTTGGACATCAGAGCAGGGTGGGAATCAAAAAAAGTTCAGTCCTGAAAAAGTTAAGTTCTAAGCGATACATAATAGTCCCGTACTGGCTTTTCAGAGTTCTGCATTCAGGTTTTTACTCCACAGTCAGTTCTTCAGCTGACAGAGGGCATCAGAAAGTCCCCTGAGCCCTGCCTGTGTGACTTAGTGTCTTAAGGTGTTAAGCCTGTATTCCTTACCAGGAGCCATATCAAACCCAGATGCCTTATTCTCTCTAAAACAAACAAACCCAATAATCATCACCAATAATCCTTATTCTTCTGAAATAGGAACAACAGCTCCTCCTTCTTATTATTTGCCAGGGAGCAGACATTCCCGCTAGGTGTAGACCAAAACTGACCAAAATCTCAGAAGAACTTCCTGGATATGTGGAAGCTAGCAAAAAATGTTGTTTAAGGGTTCCTCTCTGGTGAAGGTTACCAGAGAAAGAGAACATTGTAATGTGCTTGTCAGTGAGTCTGTTCCTTCTGTCCAGATTGACATTTCTCAACAACTTAATCATCATCGTTAAGTGTTTGGTTGATCATTTGATTTTGGTTCCACAATATTGGCAGGGAAAATTTGGATCATAGAGGTGACATATTAACTGTTATATTCTTTCAATCACACAAAGCCAGTAGGTTTACCATCATTGAAAACTTGAAAATGCAAATGTTTGAGAAGATTTAATCAGAGAGAAATTACCTTATTTTCTCATAAAATACACAGTTATTTGTAGTGATAAAAGAATCTTATCAATATTGGACAGTTATAGCCTCAAATAGTTTACAAAACAAAAGTATTGGGTGTTTCTGTCATAATTAAATTGTCCCTTTTGTGGAACTGCTGAAAGAAACTCCACCAACAGATTGTTTTTTTACAATAGTTGATAATCATTGTAATAATGGACAGTCGGCTGATAACTAGTTTTCACCGTGGCCAAAACAGTTGGATGGGTTGCCATAAAGATTGTTTCAGACATTTGTGTTCCTGATGGGATAAATCTCCAATGGTCCTCTGATTCTTCAGCTGCTCTGAGATTTGTTATGTTTCCTTCTCACCCTGTCTCAGTGTGTTAGTAAAAATCAATCTACCAGATCGTCATCACACTTAGTTATAGCTCCATATGTTGACAAATGAGTTACAGCACTAAAAAGCCTGAGGATTGTTCATCATGGGATTTGATTGAAATGGATCTGAACTGTTACAGCCTCTCTCAGTGTAGTGGTGTCTACAGTGATTGGACAGGAGCATAGCTGGGCTGAAGCAGTGCCTGTAATTGGCTGTCTGTGTCAGGGGTCACAGCTGTTTACAGAGGCAGGTAAAGGGGACTGAAGTGTATCTGAGACTCCAGGCAGCTGCTGCTGATGTATCAGGTGTTTCAATTCAGCGCCCAGATGAGCCCACAGGGACCTGGATGCCTTTTTGATAGTCCATCACAAAGGAAAATGAGTGGCCCTGCATAGCTGCACAGTTAGCTAGTTTGGTTCTTGTCACTTCTTTCATGCCTTGAGGTCTTGATAGACCTCCTCTCCTCAAACCCTTAACCCAGGGTGCATAAAGTGCTAACTCTAAATGTTCCAGTTTAACTCGGTGCTGGCGATGGGGAGAATATTTAATTTCTAAAATGGCATTTAATTTTGTTTTAGACACACAAAATCACTGCAGAAGATTTGTAATGCCACCATACATATAAAACCAGACCACTCTTTATTTTCAGATATATTTAAGGAAATAGGCTCCTTGATTTCATAAACCTAGCAAAAACTTATTTAAGATTAAAAACAGGCCAAAACAACAACAACAAAATCAACACAGCAAAAAAGGATTATTTCTTGACTGCTGCTCAATGTCCCTACTTTATCGATACTTAATAGCTGTTAACATCACAGGGCATCAGCTGGCCCAGCACTGTAGGCATGCACTCCATTTGTAGAGGCTGTGGCCTTGTTGCAATGGTCACTGGTTTTTGGACTACTGACCACAAATCTTTGCTGCACGCTTTCCCCTGTTTTCTTCTTCCTGCTTTTCATGCATCCCTTCACCTGTCCTTTCCATACTGTCAAAAATGCCATAATGGTAGGACATGTGCTTACCTTTTTCTAATTGTGTGTAACTTTATGTTTTTGAGCTATAGATATAAAACTTAATGTTTCTGAATTTTTTTTTAATAGAAAAAAAGTCATTTTAGCAAAAGTTGCAACAGGGTTTTCAGGTGTTCCTGTGGTTTTTTAAAAGTTTAAAGGATTTTACATAAACGTGTTTAATTACTGTCTGCCTCTGGTGGTTTATAAATATCTGGCATTTAACTTTTATCCTAACCTTTAACAGTGGCTAAGTTGTTTCCCCTCCTGTGGGCTAATGACAGGCTGCAGACACACTAGCATACTGAAACCTTGTTAGCTGAGGTCATTCTCTTTATGCTGCTGAATCCAGAATGATTGTGCAATCATTGGAAGGAAAGCAATCATTAAGCAAATCTCCCCCACAGAAAATCTGGCATCAAATAACTTATTTTTAGTTTTTCATATTCACTGTGGTAGAGTCCCTGGTCTGCCATTCACTGAGCACTTTCAGCCAGGTGCAGCAAACAAATGAAATCAAATCACATTGAATGTTGTGACCTGACTTGGAAAAAGAGGACTGGTATTCATCATATTCACACAATGTGACTGAATTAATATTTCCATTCATTCAGCTCCCTGCATCTGCAAAGGAGACTTGTGCTGGGAACAATGTTCATTTGCACTGAAGACTGCAGGTGTGTTCCCTAATCACATGCTCTGTAATTATGGAACTGTGGTTACATAAAGGCAGGAAAAAAAATCCTATTTGAGCTCAGAGCTACAGGATAAATGATCTGTCCTAACCTACAGCTCAGACGATGAACATTGAAGTATTTTGTGAGTCAAACTGCCCACTGAATAGCAAAGGTCAAACTTTGTCAGAGGCGGCAGTGATGTCCTGGTTCAAGCTTACAGACTCCGCAATCAGACAAAGGAGTCCCTGTGGTTTATCTAAAGAAAGTCTTTGAGATTACATCTGGACTTTCACAGAGTTTCCATCATATGCAGTTAAATCAATGTGCGAGATCACCTTGTTCCTCTCTGTGCTGCATTGTGACAAGTTTTTCATCTGCCCTCCGTCCCCTCATGCTGTGCCTGTGATGGGAAAATGGGATTTTCTCAGCAAAGAGATTCACTCACGGAGAGGTGACCTCTGCTTGTCTGATTATTATTACAGTTTAGAGATTCCACTCTCCATCCATCTTGAGTGGACATTCATTCCACAAAGATAAAAATCACAGTGGTCTTTGTTAATGGTAATGGGCTATTCAAAGGCCTTGACCTTGTAACGCTGAAATAACCACTTTTATAGTTTTATGCGTGTATTAGCTCAGAAATCAGAGGAATCTGTGAGCTGTGTTTTATTTGTTCCACCAAAAATATATCTGACTTCCTTTTAGTCAAAGCAGATTTCTAACCAAGCCCTGAAAGAGCTGAGCACAACAGTTTATCAAATAAGGTAACCTATTACTGTACCTGATACTGGACCCTAAGATGATATTATGCAGATAAATAAGCACAACAATACAGGGAAAGTATCTAAATAATTCCTGTGTTTCTCCATTGTCTTAATTTGGACAGGACATGAGTCAATGAACACATGATAAAACACATGTGTTCTACTGATAAGTTAGGGTGACAATACATCCTGTGTTTGAGTTTATAAAATCCTTCACATGTCTGGGGTTTTGTTTGGAAGTCTTGAGTTTGTATAGCGTGGACAAACTAAGTTAGAAGAGTGTGAAAAACACCAGGCCCGACCTGAAAAACCCTCATGACTCCACCCCACTTGGTAGTGTCCTTTGTTGGGGGATTCAGAATATGGTCATCCTAGATAAGTTTCAGTAATCAGATGCATTATGCCGCCTCTTGGAAATGAAGTGTATACTGAAACTTGAAACATGTTTGTAAGCATGTATTGCTTGAGTGAAAGCTACTACACTAGATAGCTACTACTAGCTGACTCTGGAGTGTTTAACTGTAACTTTTGTGACTTTTGGGTTTTGTGGAGACAAAGAGAAAAAAAATAAACCCAACAAAGACCTCTTTTATTTCAAGTAATTGTCGGAAAAGAAATTCTTTGTGACTTAGGTGAAGCTGATTATTTGTCCTCTTTATGACAGGAGTTACTTATCCCAACAGATTAATGACAGTTTGGTTTGAGAAAGTTGGCGCTAGCATTCAAGATTGGTTTAAGTCTGAAAGTTAAATTGGAGTGAGTTTAGTAACTCTGGGATCATTGGATATGTAGAACTGTGTATCGTCAGCATAAAGGGAGATCTGGGGACAGATCTTAAGTCAACTGTTGTACTTGTGCAAGTATGAAAATGTAGAGGTAAATGCTGATTGCTGTATTGCTGATTTGGGGCAAATTAAATTAAGGATGAAGTCATTCCTGATATGAGGTCTTTTTGTGATGTATAGGACAGACTACTGATACTACAAGAATTTAGATTTCCTCTTCATTGAGATAAATACTGGACATCACATATGTCTTTATAAGCAAATGTCATAGTATTTTAATGTTACATTTACCACATTATTTACCTCCTAGTAAACCTTTGATGTGTAAATAAAATGATAATTACCCTGACTTTTAACTCTCTTCAGTTGGCTGCTCAGAAAGCTTTACTCGATAGCAATTTAAATGCACAACCACGCTGTGTTGAAATCACTATTAATGAGTTTAAGTGCTGGACTTGCCTCATTAATCCTTAGTTCAAGTACTGATTTGACATGTCCTCATGCATAATGAATGCAAGCAGCACAATTCGATTCATTCCAGTGTTTAGATAGTTGTAGCACTAAATTGCAATAGATGGTCATACAATTACATACATACATACTTATAATTTGCTCTTTATTTTAGGTTCATTTGCACCCGAATACTCGCTTTTTCAGTGTACGAGACTAGATATTTTGGATGTAAATAAATGATATTTTAAGATAAGGTTTAGAAATGTCTCTGAATCAGAGGATCACATTATATGAGCAAGAACAGAAACATGACGCTCAAAGCCCAAAACACTTTTCAGCCACTTGATGATAAGGCTCTTCTTTAAGTTATTGTGTTTTGATATTCTGCATTGGGTGAGATAGTGACCATAACTCTGACACCCATGATGAAAACTCTGTGGAACCTGGTATACATACTTTCAGAGTGCGCTTTATGATTTTTGTAAATAGCTTGAACAATTTTTGTCTGTTTTTGTGTGGGAACCTATCAGGTTTAATTCTTTTTTTAGGTAGTTGACCTTTTACATCAAATAACTTTATGATATGTAGGGTTAGGTTTGATTTCCTCTTTCCCCAAACTGAGGTGGTTTCATTATGTAAATAAGGTTTTACTATTTGTGCAAGTGCAAAACTCAAACAAGTACTATTTAATGTTTCGTATCAACCTTAATTTTGAGTGTCACATGGAGTATTTCAACTTTGATATCACAATATTGACCGCAGAGCCTTGCATTTACAAAACTGTGCCTTCACTGCAGTCCACTGAAACATTAGGCCGTGGAGTAGGCCATCCCTTTGGATAATTCTGAAGTGCAAATGTGTTTCGCATGTTACAATGAATGCAAAATACCTGTTTATTTCCGTAACCTGTGTGGCACACACTCAGACTAGGCCAGCCACAAATTAAACAAATCACACATCAACAGCATAATGGCCATTTCACACAAAGACGCAAAAAGTCTGTCAGATCTTGAAATCTATTAAGACAAATGTGTAAAAGAAAGCCGTGTTTATGCCTGATGCCCCAGCCTCTGGCCAATCAAGAAACCCATTACCCTTTGGTAATGATACTCCATCATCATAAGAGTAATTGGCCATGCATTAGGAACAACATGCCGTTATCATTTTGTCGTTAATCTCAATAGGAGGATTAGCACAGTTAAGAAACATTAATGTGTGGTAGCTCTGTGTTTATAGTAATTTTCTGCTTTATTTGGTCCTGACTTATTTATTTAGTTTATTATTGACTTTTCAGACTGCATCATCACACACAGCGACATCTGCTCTAAATGATATTTTAACGATATGTGTTCTCTTAATATCCCAGTTGGCAGCACTGTAGTTGTGCTTCTGTTGCTCTGACAGAGTTTTAGTGCCGACACATTAAATATTAAGGTGGTTTCTTTTTTCTTTTTGGCCTCTGAATCCGATCTGTGTCAGAGACTGAGGGCAAACAGATCTCTGGCCCTCAGAGCAGCCATGTGTCCATATAGGACATGGTTGACATCCAACTGATGAACCATCTGCAGATCTGGAGTCTTCTATAAGGACACATTTCAAATTCATGATGCTAATTGTAGAATGGAAAACTGAGAAGAAAGCCCTGACCTCTATTCTAATTAATACTACAGTAATAAGCCACTGGTTGCCACTACTTAACAAAGCAGTGACAATAAATCAAATCTGTCATTGCAGTGACCTTAGGCTGGACCTCAGCAAATACAAGACATGTTCACACCCTCCTAAAACCTTCCATTGCTCTGTGGTCCAACATACTTAACTAAGTCCAGAAAGTTGTTTGTGTGGACTCACACTTCTCTATTTCTGTTCAACAACCCAGCATTATTTTTACATGTTGGTGGTGGGGACGTTACTGTTTTTTCAGTGATATGCTAATGCAACCTAAGTATTTTGATGATTTGGTGGACCTATGATGGTAATGACACGATGGGTCTTTGGTGCAAAAATGTATTATTATTATTTTTTTCAGCCACGGATGGAAATGAGAACTAAAAAATTTCCTCTCCCATGCATGCCCATCAATCTTTGCACTCTGCTCATTGCCTTAGATCTTTTACTGTAATAGTGGTTGATAATACTAGTGATACGTAAAGCCACTTTGCAGATCAAAATTCAGGGGATGTGAGGAAGAAAATCCAATCAGAGAAAAAAGCCTCTGACAGGAGGTTTTACAGCCTCACATTTTCAAAACGGTGCAAAATCTCAAAAGATCACAAGCTGTATCCCTGGATATACAGCCAAAGACCTATGGACATTATCTGTGGTCTACAGCGAAGGACACAGAGGGTTGGTACACATGCTAGAGCCAAAATAAAAATTCTTATCACACCTATACTTTAGTCAAACACTGTTAGCAGCTTTCTCCAGAGAGACGAAGGCTGAGGGTACAGCGACCCTTGAGCAAGTAGAGAGCATCGAAGTCACCTCAGATACCTCATCACCTCATCATGGATGGGTGGACTTCCCTTAATGCTACATACGTGGTTTTAGTTTTAAGTCTTTGCCTCCTTTTTAAATATCCACATAAATATGGTACTCTGAATGTTTTGTAGAATGAGATTTTGAAACAGTGAGATATTTAGAATATGGTTTATATCCGGTCCCTTTTCCTTAAATATTACAGACCTGACCAAGTGCATGTCATACACAGTAGAGACCAGAGATCTGGTTTGTAGACCACAGGGGCATGACATGGTGATAATCCTGAGCAAAATGGGCCCTTCTGAATTCTGCCACCCCAAAACCTTCCACTATGATTGGCTATTCGCTCTGTCTTCTTCCTACGTGAATGTTTCCAATGCATTCAGTTAAGTCTACAACATGCATTTTTAGTGTAGCTCCTTCTAGAAGCATCTGTTTCTATCATGTAGAGTATGCCAGCTAACATCCAGTAGCTGAAATGTTGATAACATTAGCGTTGATAACATAATGTTGTAAAGACTCACTGCCCATGAGCAAATGACCTAAAACTGCTCTGCTAACCTCCACTGGTCTCCTCTCTCAAGCTGGCTCTCAAGCTTCAACCAAACCAGCGCTCTGCAGGGTTAATTTTCTAAATACTATATCACAGATTTTTTATATGAAATTTTAACATGGTAAAAATCTGCCTCCTAAAACTGCGCTTCTGGTGACTGCACAGTATTTACAGATTCATTATTAGATCTCTATCCACCCCAGTCAAAGTTTTTATCTTAACCGCGCTTTCTAACCTTAGACTCTTTAAAGATTTTGCTCTGCAGAAAAGTGTTTAAAACCACTTCATCTTTTTATGTACCAAATATACCAGGCAGAAAAAAAGATATTTGCTAACTTCTTTACACTCCGTCCAAGGGAACAGTAACATGGATGATCAAATCCCTGCAGCAGACAATGTATCTGTTTGTGACAGTTTTGAACCTCCCCTTTTTTTCATGTTCAAGCTTGTGTATTTAAGACACACAGCAGGATCCTTGCCAGGGAAACCACTGATCTCTGCACACTAAGTCCATTTCCAAATGTATTTCGTAGATCTTAGGGTGGAACCCTTTGGTTTGTGAGTCTTTTTCCTGAAATTGTCTCAAAATCCTTTGAACCTCATTTACATCCTAAGCCAGCAATATCATTGCAAAACCTAAAGTTTCCTCTCTTTATGAGCACCGATCACCTGTCTTCTCTGAGATTATTAGGTATTACACTTTCGAGATCAGTAGAAAAAGAAAAGAGCCTATGGACCATGACAAAAAACCTGAACAAGTCTTAGGCTCTTGTGACCAGGGAGACCCACTCAGCTCATCCCTGGAAAGGATTTTCCTGTACATAAGAATTAAGGGGGAAAGAACTACTTCACCGTGATATGAATCAGTTTTAGGCCAGAAAAGACAAAAAAGTTATTAAAATAAACCAAAACGAAAAAATGAGCACAATAAAGAGAAGGCACTTAAAATTAACATTAGAAAAAAGGTGAATTATTTATAAATGCAGAGACTTTACCCCCACTAAATAAAACATTAGAAATGAGGGTCAAGGTCTCTCCATAGTGCAGCAGTTAAAAACAGGTGTTTTCTAAAATGACCCTTTAATTCCCACTCGTTGTAATTTTCTTTCTAGCTCCAGAACTCGCAGAGAATTGAAGCTGAAGAGACCTGTTTATGAATGTCAGATCTGCTGCACGCTGAGTGCTGATTGATCGAGCTGCTACTGTTGCTCTGCTTGTTTAATCTGATAGGAGGTTGTTGTTCGATGGAAGTCATGTGCATCACAGTCTCAATCACACTTTGGATGCGACAACCTTGTTATTTGTTCAACAGGGTGCAATCTAAGGTAGTGTTAATGCTTTTTATTGGCCTATTTTTCTTTTTTATACCACAATGACTTAATCTCAATTGCAATTGTTCGCACATTTTCCTCTCTGCATCATTTACCTCTGGGCTGCTTTATGTGTGTGCAGAAAAATATCCCTTTTATACAGCATGGGAACAAAAAAGAAGGAGAGTAAGAAGGAAAAAAAAAGCAGTGGAAACTCATCATATTCATGACAAGGCCAGTGGCTTTTCATAAACAAGACTCCATAGTAGCTGTGTTAGACTTCAAGTCCTGGTGACACGCAGCAGGAACAAGGATTAATGAGAGATTAATAGATTACTTTGCAAAGTACAGTGGCAGAGTAGCAGCATGTTAGGTTCAGTTCTGTGCTAATAAAGATTTTGTTTGGTGTAACTCATAATATAGAGATCATGTTTATGAGCCCACCAGTAGTTGTCTGCTTCAGACTGAACTGTTTTAAAAACTCATTTGTGCCCACCTCAATTAGGTTTTGAAATAATGTGTCCTCAAAATATAACCGGATTGTGCAATAATGTCATGGTTATTTGTTCCTTTTTAAATCTTGTTTACCTTATCTCACCTTGCTGTGTCTTATTCTTTTTCATTGTTATTTATTGTCAGTATTTTTCCTTTAACCATTTCTGAGAGATTCTTGTGCAATATGCATGGGTTATGTGACTGTGTCTTTGTTAGGTCTAATACTTTGTGTTATCAATTGGCAGCTTTATCTGTGCAGCTCTTGGAGTCCAAGACAAATTTTCCTAAGGGGACAATAAAGTGTATTTTATCTTTATGTTTACTTATCTTCTCATTTTCTTTCTGCTGCCAACATGTGTTAAAGTTTTCACGTTTGTAACTGCTTGAAATAAAAACCGAGCAGCTGACGCAGTACAAATGCAAAGTTTGCGGGACATAAAATCAGTGAAATGAGACAGGGTTTGATCCTCTACAGCACTTTTACATCATATGTTTTTAGTGGTGATGTTTGTGTAGGATCGAGCTGTTTTGATTAAAAAGGATTATCTTCCCCTAAGCAAATGTTCTTCTTAAAAATTTTTGTACTCCTATTGGTTTGACTGAAATTTTGACCTTTGAGGCTGAGGAAAAACTCTTGTTGTTTAAATTGCAGGGAAGTCCAAGATAATCATGTAATTTGTGGAGGCAGCATGAAACCAGAGCAGAACTGTACAGACTGTTAGTATGTTTACATGCTGGTCAAAAACTTTTGCAAAAAATGTCAACACATCAGTGCAACTCAACTCTCACTAGATCAAAATTCTAACAGTCCGACTAACATACCTTGATAATGTGGTTTGGGATCGATTTTCTCTGTCATGTAAACAGAACAACTGGAAAAAAACTGGCCTGAACATGCTGAAATTAAAACAAAAACAAAACAAACAAACAAAAAAAAAAAAAAAATATTGACTACAGACAAGCTAAAAAATTACAATCAGTGAACTGATGTTTTTACCCCAACATGATAAGTGACCACATAGCAGCTGGTTTCAAAGGGACCTTAACTAAGTGAGTTGGATCAGTGCACGCCTGGTTAATGGTACATGCCCAGCCCAGTATCAGAGGCTGACATAGACTGCTGTCAGTACAGGACCAACTTTAATTTAGCAACTTGAAAAAGTCATTATAAAGTGGGTTTATATGGTTAATGCCTCATTGTGAACAATAACCAATGTCTGTTTTGGTTCCTGAATCGATCTGTCTTTTGTCCTCTCCAAACATTTAAGTTTTATTCTCTGTCAGGGATACACTCTCAATAAATCACTCAACATGTCAACATGATCAAAAGCTGTTCAAATCTGCATCTCATTTTAACACCAAGAGTTTAGTGTCGGAATCACATGCAAATAAAAATCACACCATGTTACCTCCAGGATGTTCAAAAATGAATCTCATTCGGAGGTGTGAACAACTGCAGCTCTATGTGCATCGACTACAGGCAAGGAGACCACATTTAAGCCCACAACAGCAGAGTGGACCGTGTTTACAGCCTGGACCAAATACACTTTACATCTCTATACTTCTTGTTGTTTCTGATGATGACTGTACAGCTTTGAGTTATTATATGACTCATCTGTGTTAATTATTTCAAGACTTAGAATTATGTTTTATGTATGAGTCATCAAGAGCAGGCTGCTGGTTTGACCAATACAGTATGTGTGCATGCTGTAGCTGTATTCCAGGAAGCAAGTTTATGACTTTGACTTCACTTACTTGCCTGTTTCTTGATTCGCCAAAAGTTAGTTCACCTTGAAGACTAATGAACTCTTAAACAATCTTAAAAACGTGATAGACCCCACATATGATGGTAATGACTGAGCAGCTTTGTTTTTATAGTATGTGGAGAGCAACAGTACGACCAATAACCAGGGTCCCTGAAACCCCAGTGACAGACATGGCACTGCTAGCTGCTTTGCTTTTTGATAGATATTCTAGTTACAGCTATTGTTCACCTCCTCTCCATCTCCGTTTGATTGTAATATGTTCAACATGACGTGTAAACAGCGGTATCGTTGACACAAATCAACAGATTCCTTTTTTTCCCTGGCATCCAACTAGACTTATGTGTCATGTTCACTTTTGTCTTAGCAGTGTTTGTTGTGCTTCCTCCTTCAGTCAGCTTGTTGCCTGATTTGCTATCATTTCATTTTACATGGTAATCCACAAAGTGTGTGCTCTGCTATTCTCAGGGTTTCCCCTGAGGACAGCAAGGTGGTAAATATTAAAGGTGTCTAACATGGAAACAAAACCTGGTGGTCCAGGGAAAGTAAAATCACCCCTGATATACACCAGGCCACAGAAAATCAGTCCTCTTTGACCTTTTCGGGAAGAGGGCCCAAAATCAGCCCAGAGCTGTCAGTATCAGCATTTCCAAAATGGTAGCTGCCATCTTTGAGTTAGAAAACTGCCTCAGGAACTGTGGGTGACGTCACTTTGGTGACACCCATGTTTTATACAGTCTGTGGGCACATTGTGCCTCAGTAAACAAGTTATTAAGGCAAAGCAGGATTTCACATTATGTTTGGAGAACTGAGTTTGTGGCACTTTGTGGCACTCTTAAATCTTTATAGGATCCATAACTATTGCATGAAAAATCCCTAAAAACTATCTTGTGCCTCTTTGGTCATCATCTTCACCTGTGTGTCATTTTTTTATTTGCCTTTTTTATAAAAAGTTAAATCCAAATACAACGCTATCACATAGATTTACCCTTTTTTTCTTTTTCTCCTTTTACAGATTAGGATTCCCCATGATGATCATGACGTGTATGATTGGCATGTGCTACCTGTTGGCAACACAAGTTGGACTTAAATGGAACATGTAATCCACAACAGAGCCAAAGAAACTGTTTGAGTGTCTGTGTGTGTGTGTGTGTGTGTGTGTGTGTGTGTGTGTATGTGTCTGTCTGTGTCTGTGCATTTGTGACCTCTCCTTCAAGTAGTAAGTAACCTGATTGGAGGATCAGATTACAGGCACTGTTTGAAGCACAGCAGCCATATTTTCTTAAATGTCTTTGACTAAAGAGCAGACCAGCAGGGACCAGAAACACCGGTGCTTTGACCAAAACGTGAAACACATCATCCAAAAACATGACACATAAGCTCTTTGGGACTGGTCCACCATCAGTCACCTTGTTGAGTTCTACAAACTTTGCCAGAAACTTGAACCTGTTTGTCCTCAGCAAAGAGTCGATCCAAGGGAAGGAAATGTATCTTTACTGAAAAACATGTGCCCCTCCACTACACTGTATATGGTGCTACTGCCTCAACGTGTTGAACTGGTGTATGTGATTCCAGCTTTGGCCACTGGTTGGAAATCTACAGCGTGTGGTCTGTTTACAAAAAGCAACAGCTAAATTATTGACACATGTATCTCATGATTTGCTTTAATAGATATATTAGCACACTGATTGATTTGTTCAGCACTTCACCCGTGGTTAACCAAACTTCTGTTGATATTTTAAAGGAACAGCAATACCCAGTGAAAGGGATTTTATACAGGTTAATGTCTAATATATTTGCCAGCTGCCCAAATCTCAACACCTCGTGGATAAATCTGAAGAACAAATACAACATCCATTAAATTGGAAAATAGTGAAATGATCAAATGAACAGATGTAGACTGTTATCTAAAGATTGTATACTATCTATTGTACTGTGTACACATTGATCTCATGTAAACTCAATGATTTAGTTCAGTTAGTCATATTTAATGTAGAAAATGTTGAATCATGTAAATGCTCTTATGTGGCCACACACTCTCTCTCTCCTTGTCCTGTTGAAATGATTTCCTGTATTTATTGTACAGCCTAACAACTTGAACATCATTAATGTTTCATTGTTGAGACTCTCAGAACACTCAGGCAGAGATCAACACGAACAATAAAGCTTATGATGTTTCTTGTTTTCATTTGGCTCCTGTTGACTTTATTCTTCTTTGTGAACATTTCGCACCATTTTCTCATAAAATCCTCCTTTTGTAGAAATGTCATAACAGTCAAGTATTACACCATTTGTTCCACTATAGTACAACCCCAGCACCAAAAAGTCAGGACTAAGTCTGCAAATTCAAAGTATTTTCTGTAATTGATTTATTTGGAAATTTTTACAGTGATTTATCGTTTTTATGTTGTAAAACTGTATTTTTCAAGGACAAGTCAATCCCAAATGCTTTTGCCCCTAAATCATGTATCCTCCACAGAAACTGACATGATCGTACAGCTACAGAACATATAAAGAGGCTTAACATGTGATATACTGTATAAACACAGAGCAGTCATAATCTCTGCAGTCATATGCAGAAACAGAGGGAGAATCTAAATCCTTAAAGGTCCCATATAATGCAAAATTTACTTAGAATGGTTTTCTAACAATAATATGCATCCCCAGCCTGTCAACAAACCCCCTCAAAATTTGAAAATTCTATCCTCTCCCTCTCTTGCTTGTTCCACCTTTCAGAAAATGTCTGCTAAAACAAGCAGATTGAAACTTTCGCCTTTCATGATGTCATGAATGGCGATAACTCCCACCCTCCTGGTTTGTGACCCTGCCCAAGATGTTTGTTCTGACCCCCGAAAATTTCCACTCAAGACATTATTTTCTCCCTCGCAAATGCTGGTTTGAAATGGCGAAGGTACGAGCGAGGCACGACAGTTGCTCTGTTGTCGGTTGCACAAAGCACCACAGAAGTCGGTTTCCATAGACTGCAAGAACATAGTCACCAGAGATAACTATACTTACAATATTGCGCATTCACCAAAAGAGCTCCAAGGAACAAGAAGACAGTGGAGAGCTGGAGCTAATGTTACCTAGCTACATGTAAGTCACTGTGTACTTATGCACGAACAAAGTAAAAAGAAAAATATGGAGACACATAATATTTGTAAGTAACCATTCAGAAACGTCCTGCTGCAGTCACAGAGTTGGAATTTCTTCAGGAGCCTCTCCTTCTGGGTCAGACTCTGGATCAAACTGGTACAGCTGGACCACAGCACTTCTATGAGCCATACCTAACACTCTTTGTAAACATTAGCGCATGGTACCCAGAGCAGTGGATTAATCAGAGTAGCGACACTCCCATAGGCATACGCTGTACAGCCCGGCGGACCCCACTTCCGGGTTATGGAACTCTCAATAGTTCCAACATGGCCGCCTGTCACGTCGGACGCCGTTCGCTTCTATGGCCACAAGGCAAGCACTCACCAAGGTTAAATGATAAAATATCATCAAGTTTAATGCCAACATGTGTGTTATTGATATCGAGGGGACCCCTTTATATGTAAAAATGTATGTCCCAAATGTAATTTTTTTTTTTTTTGTCAGGAATTGGGATCGATTTTTTTAGCCACGGCTTGCTCCCACACTCCCTGAGGTAAAATATTGTATCAATGAATTTAATGCCAATACGTGTGTTAATGGTATCGAGGGACCCCTTTATATGTAAAAATGATTTTAATTTTAGTATGCTCAAATTGTAATTACAAATGTAGTTATGTTTTTTTAGTTAGGAATTGGGATCAATTTTTTTTAGCCATGGCCTGCTAGTTGGACGTCGTCATCTGTAGAGGCGTGGCAAAATTTATTGTGTGACTGAGTTATGAATCACAGATAAATCATCATCATCAATCATATGTTGAGATGGTTACTTATGGGCTTTTTTTAGATTTTAGCCTTTATCAGTACCCAATGTTATGTGCAATTTATTCTTTTTAGACTAACAAAAGTGCTATGTAATTTGATTTCTGCTTATGTATACCATGGGATGATAGAGTAAAGGGACTGCTACTTTTTAAATTCCGTCAGCATTTAAGGCGTATGTTTAACATGGAAAAGTGTTATGCAGGCCATGCTGCAAGACCAAAACATTGCACAACTGTTCAAACAGCTTGTAACACCTGTTACTTACAACTTTATTGTATTACTTTCTCTAATTAAAAAGTGACACATGTACCACTTTATGAATGACATGCTCTCCAACCCAATCCTTTTCATTAAATCAAATCTATATGAACTTTGAACAGGCAAAAGAGGAGGCCAATGAACACTGCTTCGTTGGATTCAGCTGCTTGCAGTTGCTGCTGCCGCTTGCACCTGGCTGTGGCACAGGACTACAGGGGTCTGCTGATGGTGGATGAGATCTGGATAAATCCACCTTCTCCTTGACCTGCAAATTGAAATGTAAATTATTATCCTACTCCCTTAACACAAACTGACATGAGGTTGACATTTTTAGGTTGTTTTCCAGGTGCACCTCCTGCCAGGTGGTAGAGGACACAGGACCTTGTTTTTGTGAAGTCAGGTGGTGATGCTGGGTCATCCAGCTGCTCCAGACGCACCACTGGAGGAGGACTGCAGCTGCTTCTCTTTGAGTCCAGGAAGTCTGCCAAATTGTCAGATCCGTCATCCAGGTAACTGCTGGTAGGTACTGTGGAGAGGAACTGTCCAACAGTGACAACTCACAGTGCATAGTGGAACTCTGCTGGTGTTGGGACAGGGTTCATCTGACGAATACAAGAAAAGGTGTTCTCCAGGCAGTCCTGTGTAAACCGACTTGTGAGAACAAATTTGTGCCCTTGGCTCAACAGGTCTTGCTGGACTTCCAGGATCACTCTTGTGGCCATCACAAGTCCTGTCTGAGAGTAAGTTTTTTCTGCATGAAAAGGAGCTGATCAACATGTTGAGGAGAAAGGCAGCTCCTTTTTGCTGTGACTACATCACCAGTGTTGGAAAAAACCCGCTCAGACGGGACACTGGTACCAGGTACACAAAGGTACCGTTTTGCTTGGTGGGCCAATAGGGGATAATGCTTTGCATGTGCTCTCCACCATTTGAGAGGATCCTCAGAGAGTGGAATGGGTGTTAGATCCTTGTATTTTTTTATTTCATCCTGGGCCTTTTCAAGTACAGTTTTCTGGGTTACCATCTCTTTTAACATGTAGGTTGACCCAAGGAGAGACACCAGCGCAGAGGATTCCTTTGGCTCCTTTGGTGGAGTAACATCTTCAATGGGATCAGGCACAGCTTCCTCTGTTCCACCAAAAGCAGAAGTTTGCTGTTTGAAAACAGGAATAAAATTATTTGGAAAATCACTTGGTACACAATTTGGAATACAATTGCTTAATATTAAAATATTAAAGACAAATCACATTTGAATTGAATACAGTAAGGTACAAAAACTAAGAAATTAGTTATTGTGTGTCTTTAACGTACATTAGATGCCTCTGCCTGCTCGACACCAGCAGCTTCAGTCACCAGTTGGGAGAATGTGTGGTCCAGGGCCTTATCATGCAAGAAAGGCAAAGTCTTGAAATGAGGGTCTAATGCTAAAGCAACATAGAGCCTGTCCTTCAGGACTACATGCTTTGAAAAGATATCACATTTTTTAATCATGTTATTTCATAGGATATTAATGTGCATGCATGCACACACCTCACATTTTTTAAGCATACCTGGAGTTCAGGTTGTTGTATGCAGCTGTCTTGATCGCTTTGATGAGTGTTGAATCTTCGGGGACACAGCGCATCTCCTCCAACAGTTCTGCATGCAATGGTGCAATGATGAACAGAGCCAGGGACGTTCCCTCAGACATGGCAAGAGTGGCTGCTTCCATTGGCTGAAGAGCTTTAACCAGATCTTCTGCTACTGTTATGTCCACTTCTGTCAACGTGCAGAGATCTGTCTTGTTTCTGCGCACTTTAGGTGACAGTAGAGCTGCTGAGATTGCTGATTGCTGCTCGAGGAACCGTTCTAGCTTCTCCAGTGAGCTGTTTCATCGAGTCACCACATCAATCACCATCTTGTGTACAGGAAGCTCCTGTACCTTTTGCTTCTCACTGAGGATGCGGCTTGCTGTAGTGGTACAATGAAAATATGCGGCAATGCGTCTGATTCTGCAGAGCAAGCGCGCAGCTGGAGGGACTTTTAGCGCAGTTTGCGAAGCCAAATTAAGAAGGTGCGCAAAGCAACCAATGTGCCGCACGCCCACAATCTATTTGCAGCATTGTCAGTTACAATGGCTGGCACTTTGTTTGTAAGCTTCCACTCGCCTATCGCATTGAGTAATAGGTTGCTGAGATTCGTCGCTGTGTGGCTGGTTTCCATGGCTCTTGTTTGTAGAACACGGCATGTGAGGACCCAGTTGTCGTTAATGTAGTGAGCAGTAATGGTCAGATATGAATCTGTTGCTCTCGATCTCCAACAGTCTCAAGTCAATGCCACACTCTCTGCCGACTGAAGCAAAGTTTCGATGCTTTGTTTCAAACATGCATATATGTTTGGAATTGTCACTTCACTTAATTGTTTACGAGTCGGCAAAACATAACGTGGCTCCAGTGTTTTCATGAGACTTCGGAAACCATTGTTTTCAACGATGCTGTAAGGTCGAATGTCTTTGCATATAAAAACTGCAATAGCCTCAGTTATCTTCCATGCACGTTGAGAGTTTGCCGGGGGGATCAATACCTGCTCCAGGCTAGTTTGTTTGAGCCGAGTCCAACTGTTTCTGGGTGATGTCTTGTCAAATGGTTGTTGAGATTTGTCGTATTCCCACAGTATTTCACTGCTCCGTTGCATACTTTGCATATTGCTTGGTTTTTGTCATCCGCGTTGTTCTCTCCATCCTTGTCAAAACAAAAATACACTCAAACATAAGCATAAACCTCGCCGGGGTCGCCACTAACGCTGTGCTCCCTTCCGCCATGTTTCCTTCTCTTGCTCCATTGAAAAGCTGTGTTGACTAGCACGGCTGTTAATAACATCTCGCGAGATCGTGTTCCGTGGAAAGCCCCGCTAAATGCTAATCTCGCGATACTGCCAGGGTTGAAACAGGCTGTTCTCTGCAAGTTAAAAGATCGATCTATGGATTTATGAATCGATGTTGGACAATAAAAAGGCAAATCGATTCAAATCGATTAAATCAATTTTTTCAATCCACCCCTACTGATACTGAATTAACACCCATAGTTAGGATGCTGTGTGAAAACAGTTGGTCTGATCAAAAAGCCTAGGGGATTATTCGGCAGTCGTTAATAGATTTTTTAAATAGCTATTTACAGACTATTTAAAGATGATACCATAGAAAAATTTATACATAATCAGTGTTTTTTTTTTTTGTATCATTGAGGCCCCCACCTCTCCGGAGAAATATGGGCTGTTAGCTGGCTTTAATTGTCTGTTTCTATTAAAATGACTGTCCACCCACAGTTTTCCTCTCATGCTTTTGGCGTTCTTGACATCTTAAAAATGTTAAAAATTCACAAAATATAAAGTAGAGGACACAGAGGTTAGTGGATACTCAACAAAAATAAATGACACCTCTATAACAAAGATTTTTCCTGGCTGGGGCTGTATGGCGATCGAGTGGATTTCTCTTTTCATGTTAAAAGCTTTCTGGTACTTCACAGTGTTTCCTCTGAAGTTTCACTGTTGTCCCGCTGCCTCTTGCACAGCTCTGCTCTTACAGTGTTTATTGGCAGTGACTGAGAGTAAAACTGACTTTCATGTTGCCTTTAATGAGTGCGGCTTCATGCCAGCTAAAATACAACTACGCGGATCGATGTGTGCAGCTCCTTCAGGACTGTTGTTTTATAATCAAACCCTCATGGGGTCTCGACTTGAAGAGTGGAACCCTCCTGTTTGTTTCAGTCATCGGAAATCTGTTTGTGTTGTCCACTTTGTTCCTTTCAGAGCCGGGCTGTTGATCACAGCCTTAACTTGTTGCTAATGAATTAAACAACCTTCCACCTTTGAAAACCTGTTCGGTTATGCATCATGAATGTTTTTAATGTGTTCCAGCAGTTAAGGTAATTAATGGCTTTAAGTTTAAACCTCAAAGTTTTATTCTTCTGCATCAAGATAAACTGCAACTCAGATTAAAAAAAAGAGGGGGAAAAAAGGTTTTACAGGTTTAGAATCAAAAATTCATCTCAATGCAAATTATGGTCCTGGACGTCTTTCTCATCTCTCTGTAACATCCACTTTTCCTCATTTCAACCAGACTACCTCACTATCTCTCTTCACTGTGAAGGACAAGGAATCAGATATTTTACATCTCTTAGTGAAATAAATGGACTAAAGGCCTCAGAGATTAGACGGAGAGCTTTTCTGATGATTTATTAAAAAGATGACATCAGCCCTATCCTTTCAGGAATAGAAAATACAAGAGCCCACATTAGCAGTCATACACCCCTGAAAAAACTGAATACCCTAAAAATGCCTGATTTAAAGCCCACGTGGTGGATAAAGCAGGTTTAAGGTGCCCTTTAGTGGAGAAATGTTAGCCGTAACTGGAAAAAATACATGTGTAAAGTGCCTTTTCTTTAGAGAAAATGTGATGGTAATGCAGTAGCCTTTAGAGTTCCCTTCTAGTGGTTTCTCAGTGGTTCATCATTGTGATGGGGTGCTTTTCAGGGGTCCATAATAGATGAGAAAACTTCACAGATTGCCCTTCATTGTGCCCTTTCTGTGGAGGAATATATCGCATTGTAGAGACAAGGACTAAAATTAGGAGAAAGCAATGTGAGGGCTTTCTAGAGGAGAAAGCATGACGCAATACCCCTCAGCAAGACCCTTCAGAGGAAGAAAAAAAAAGCAAAAATCTCTTTAGGGCAGAGAAAACAGTGCTTTACCAACCACAGTGCCCCTAAGGGAGTCCAAGTGAAAAAAAACCATGATGCTGGGCCCACAGGCATGGCCAAACTAAATATATAACATGATGCAATACCTCTCAGGTGTTACAGATTTAAAAACCAGTAGTTGTAGTTTGGACCCAAAAGCAAAACAGGAGACAGGAGACAGGTGAGGCAGTTTAGTGATTTTATTGAGAGTGAAAAAGGTGAAGGAAAGGGATCCAGGGTGTGAGAAGGGAATCTGAGAAGAGGTGAGGGCTGAAGGCTGGTGAGTGAACCCAAGTAGAGATTGCAGCAGCTTGGCACAAATTTGGTGGTAGCACTGGGGGGCTTGTGGAAGCATAAAGCATGGAAGAGATAAAGGACGGCAAAATTAGTCACAACATGCAAAGCTGGAATGTTCAAACAATTGCAAATAATTGAGAAAACTGAAGATTTGGCAGAGAGACCACATGAGGTGCGGGAATAATCTGGCAATGGAGAATGGAGAAGCATCACAGCAGGGCTTAAGTCCAGGTGGTGATTGCAGTAATTCAGTGCAGGTGTGAAGGTGCAGGTGGGAGCCGCCCAATGTCTGTGAGAAGGGAAGACACGCATGCATGCACGCACACGCACAAAAATGGGTAAACAAGATAAAATGCCTTTTTGGCTTCTCTCCTTGTGGAGAAAACACAATACAGTGCTAAGTGCAATTAAATGAAGGAAATAATATGCAATGCACCCTCAAGGAGAGAAAACTTGGTGCAGATGATAGCTGAATCCTTTTCAATGTATGCAAGACCCTTTAGGGAGCCATTTCAGCAGCAGAGAGGAGGCAACGCAGATGCTTTACAATTGTGGTTTCAGTGGAGACAGTTCAATGTAGAGCCTCCAGGATACCTTCTCAGTGGAGAAAGCCTTACATATGAATCTGGTACACCTTCTGCCCTGATAAACACAAATCTTGACTGTGGTTTGAAGTCATTTATCAACTGTCCATTATGCTTTTTAGCATACTTGTGCCTCACAGCATTTCAGTGTTCATTCATACATTCATCCATTCATTATCTCTCTCCCATTAGACAGCCTGATTATTCCATAGCTGTCACTCAGCACTTATGTTGTCCCCTAATGCCTATTTTGAAGCTGCTGTTATGACTAAAAACATTTCCATTGATGGGTTTCTGTCAGTACAACTGCTCAACTTTTTATACCAAATAAGTTATTTAGTCCTCCTATTTCAAAGGTGGTTTTAGATAAGGGACTTTTTTTTATTCTATTCACATACCACAGAGCCGCATTGAATGTTTGTACTCCATCCTGTAGAAGACAAAATGTGATGGCTGTTGGTGAACAGCTTTTTCTTTGTTTGCTCTCCTCTTCTGCATAACTGCTGACATTTTGTTGTTGGAGCTGGAGCTAATCCAGCCGTCCTCTGAGCCACTTATCTGCTGCTCGATTCGGCCATCCTCAGTGAGAGCGTATTTATCATGTTCACTGACCCAGACGTGTCCCTAAAGAAAAGCCACTGATTATTCAGTGTTTGTACACAGGAACTAACAAAGACTCAAATCAATGACCAGGTTTTTTTCTAAACCAGTGGAGTTTTCGAAAGGCTTCATGGCTGTTGGGAACTTTTAACTGATGTTTTTTTTTTTTTTTTTTTTCTGTGTGATTGAGATTGTGCACAACAGAGAGCCACATGGTCTATTATCAACTGACCTGTCAGAACTGTGGTGTCTAAAGGATGATGACAAACATTATGTTTTTGCACAGGGTTTACTTTGCCTTTTGGCACATGCCCCACATTACAAATGTCAGACAAGTGTTGAAACTTTTTTGCACATATCAGATTTAAAGAATTGTAGGCTTTCCATTAAGATTTCTGTTTAAGCAAAACAAAAATGTAAATAACAACCAAGTGAAGGCACAAGTTACAGTTTTGCTGTTATCGCCATTAAGGCTCAGTTATGCTCAATACAAGCGTTCACATCAGAGACGTTTTCCTGTAGTGTGGTATTGCGGCATTTATTTTTTCAGATCACGGTCAATTTTTCTAAAGTTTCGCATACTGTGTGTGTCCACTTCTGACCAATCAGATTGCGTGTTGTTGCGACGTCTGATTCACCGGTATATCCAACATGGCCGACCGGCTGATTGTTTACGTGCCGGAGAACAGAGAGCTTTTTGGTAAAAAACACAAACATTACAAAGATAACGACCGGAAGGACAACTAGTGGAGAGTCATAGTGTCGGATTTCTCATATGACGATGGTTTGTGTGCTTTAACAGTTTGCTAAACGTATTTGTTTTAACTTTCAACTGTGCTAAGTAACTTTAGCTCATAAGCTGACCTGTTCAGATACAACATACCATATGTATTTTCACTGTCTCAAACTCAACGGTGTTGCTGTTACAGCACCATTAGGTCTCAGTTGTTATCTTACGTTTACGGATTATAGTTTAATGTGCTTATCTGGTACTGGCCCCGACTCAGTACATACTATTATGACAGACAGCCATCTCAGGACTAGTGTCTGATCAGAACTGAAAAACAGTCAGTTTGTTATTGTATCAGTTTTCTTGCTTCCGCCCCGGAATGCATCTTTTTTCCCCTCGAAAAGTCACAAAATCACATCAGGCGTGATGTGTATTGTCAGTCGAGTCAAAATTCTTCTTCGAATATTTCGTAATTTCACGTCGCAGATTTGCCTCGGTCCCAGTGTGTAAGGACCTCTACATGCATTCTTTACATTGGCATGGATGTTAACCATTACATCCACCAGGGGGCAGGCCGGTGGCAAAAGTTTCTGACAACAACAAACAAAAAGAAACATGGTGACTGTGGAGGAGCCAGTGATAATGTATATTTTGAATAGGAGACAGAAACGGAGGCGGTGGTCAGGCCACTAAATGCCTTGTGGTTAGAGGACAGAGAATTCTTTTCTCTAGAGGTACCAATGGGAGAAATTGACGACGATATTCAAAAATTAGGCGATGATGTCATTTAGCAACCTCTAGTGACTTTTAGGACAGCCAATAGCTACTTTCCTTACTGAGGAGTTGGCAACACTGTTTTAATGTGTGCATGTTGCTGTGCTGCAGCATGATGATGCATAACATACATAATCCTTACTTGGATACAAATGGCTCAATCTGAGTGAACAAAAACCTAACATGTCTAGACAGGTGATTGTATACTCATCTAAACATAGATATTATCTTCCATTTCTACCTAGTTTGTTTTGCTGAACACCACTACATACAACACACTTAACCTTTCTTACTATATATAAAGATACTTGGCACTCCCTTGTGTATTGCTGAATGAAAGTTAACATCTTAATTATTTTTCATACAGCCTAACTGGTTATCCTTGTGTAAACCTACAGATGAGAGCTCATAGGTTAGCTTCAATTAAAGAGGGATATTTATATAATTAAACTGAGCAGACAATCAGCAGACAATAGTGTGCGTTTGTAGCTATATATATATATAGTATTATGACTCCTTGTGTCACCATTGTTTCTCCAAACCGTATGAACTAATTAATTACAACAGTTCAATAAGAATTCATTCGATTTCCTCTAAGAAGTCTCCTCTCCCCACGGCTAATGCTCTTATTCATCAAGACGGGATTAAATGTGTCCTAGCCGGTGTAATTAAGAACTGCAGCAAGGGGCTTAAGAGGATTCACTTTAAAGGCTATTTTAAAAACTCCTGATCCTCCTGTTACAACACAAAGTAACACGATACAGACTGAAATAAAGCGAGTCCAATTTGATCACCACAACACTCAAACTGACCTCATACAGGGTCTCCCTTTTTAATAAGAGTGGGAGGAAACATTACAAGGTGCATTATCACACAGCAGGGCATTGTGAGATTAATTTGTACAGATGATTAAAATGTTGTTATTGTGTCGTTATTAAAAACATGACAGAAATAATCATGAGTTGAAACAAAGTATGAGGGAGAACAAATGCAGGGCTATACTGGATGGTGCAGGTGACATTCAGAGAGACCTTTCTGCTCATTTTTAGCTCTAATCTAAGACGCTCTGCATGAGTCACAGTCATGAAATAATACCCCAATTATCTTACACAGAGCGTGATGCAGTTCATCTTCATTTCCTAATAGGATTTTCGTCTGTTGTCTTTGTCTTTGATTTGATGTTTTGGCCTTTTTGTGCCTTTATCTGAGAGGACAGGACAGTGATGAAGCAGGACATGAGGACACAGAACAGGGGGTGATGTGATGTTAAACCTGGTTCACCTGAGGCATAACATCTGTACTTGAGGCATGTGTTGAAACTGCTCAGGCAGCAGTGCCCCAGCTTCTCTCTTGTAAAACTGACTTTTCTCGGACTGGTCGGCCTCTAGAAAACCTGAGCAAAACACAAGCAGCAAACTCAGGTTTAAAAAAGTGCAGAACACTGCAGCTCCTTAATGGTCCATTTGAAGCTGTCTGCAAAAACCAAAGCATCTCTATTTTTACAGCAGAAATAAACACACCTACAGCTGGATTCAGTTTTGGCCTCTGAAGCTCATTTATCTATTTGTGCACCTGTGATGATTTTTTTTTAGAAATAGATAATGCATCTGTGAATATATCGGGCCAGAGTTATGCAACCCAAAAAGTTGGGATTCTGTGTTAGTAAAAACTGATTTTGATCATTTGCAGATTGTTTTACCACAGACTTAATTACACATTGGTCCCAATTAAACTCTGACTGTCTCCACACACCAAGTAAAATCATTCAGGTGACTGAATTGCATGTTAAAGGGATATTCCAGTGTAAAATTAATTTAGGGTCAAACACACTGTAACACTGAGTTGGACACCCCTTCGA